TGATGTTTCTCCCTCTTTCTCTCCCCCTCACCCTCTTTGTTTCCCTCCCTCTTTCTCTAAAAGTCAATAAACATATCATCAAGTGAAGATAAAAAAAAAAACACTTGTGGACTCACTGCCAATATTTGAAGCAGCTAAATGCTCAATGACTAATGTGTTATAAATAAACTATCCACTAAGACTTTGGTGATTGAAGTTTGTTTTGTTATTGTTAAAACAGCAATGAACCATATACTCTGCAGCATTGGTGACTTCAAAAATTCTCCCGGACAAAGTACTTAAATCCTATGCTTAATGACAATTTGTGAAATGTTAGTAGAATTTTGTCTACACTGTGGTCCTTACCTCTCCTTTCTGAAAAGTTTTCTTCCCTCACAGCACATACCTTCTGAACTCTTTGTCAACATAAAACTCCCTAGTACCCAGGAAGTGGTCAACAGAAAATTCCCAGTGCTCTTAACTTTTTCTTCCCACTGCCATGTTCTCTAACCTCTTCCAAATCAAAATCTCTTCTCAAATAGCTTAAAAAAAAGTCCCATTAAATATAATTATATTAAGTAAGGTGTTATTAAAACAGTAGCTTTGTGTTACTTCCTTCAGAAATGTTGCCCACTTTAAAATGCTTAGCCCGAAGGTATGCAGTTTCTGTAGGAATTGCAGCATCAAGGCACCCTGCCTCACAATGCAGCAAATCATACCACAAAGGTGACACAAGGCTCTAAACTAGACCGAGCCAAAGGATAAAGATGAAATTCAACTCTTTCCATCTCTCCTCTGACCTGGTGCTGAAATTTCAAGGTCTTCCTGACTCATTAATCGCAGATCAAATTCCCTAAAACGCTCTTCATGCGGAATCGGTGGGGTCTGAATCCTGGACTGAATTCTTTCATCATTTCCTTTTTCTACACAAGGCCTGATTACTGATTGTCAGCAACTTAAGGAGTTTGTTTACATACTTTTAGCTCGTGAAAATACATTAAAAGATACCATCCACTCGACAGTGACTTTAAAAGAGGTGAATGAACATAAGCCATATTTATTTCAGATGCTCCCTAAAAAACTTACTAACCTTTTCTCCAGCCAGCAGGCCTGAAGTAATCCATAGGCTTCCACAAATAAAAGTGGTTCATTACCATACCAATTTTCAGTGAGAGAGGGAGGTTAAGAATTGCTGCTTAATATTTCACAGAACAACACATCTGCCAGTTGTTGTTTCAATTAAACTTTACCTTTGAATTGCAGCATTCTGTGTTTAAAAAGAATATGTGTACTTTCTGAGAATTTTACTTGAGCAGGCCTAGACTTAACTTTGTATCACTGGCACAAGAACTTTCAATTCACTTTTTCTTCTAAACATTTTAAAAGAAAGGAACCAGTGCTGAATTTGAGATGATTTTCTGACCCATTTTCAAACTCAGTAATAGCCACTATTAGATGGTCACTACCTGAATCAGCACTTACATAGACTTACTGAACTCATTTACATAAAATCTACCTATATGAACTATAAAATAAAACTATAAAATCTTTGCTTTTCCCTAGTTTTTTCCTTTACTCCTTAGTCTGTACTGACCTTTCAAAGGCCTAGCTATCCACTAACACACACATAACAACTTCATCTCCACAATTTTTGCTTTAGGAATTCCTTCTCAGTATCATATATTATGTATGATATTTTGTACTCTACATGTAATATTTTGTACATGTAGAGTAAGACTGCAAAATGAAAAGGATGAGAAACATAGATGTTTTACAGTATATATGCTCTGGTGCTATTAAAGCTTTTTGCTTGTATTGGATAAATTTAATCCACACAAATCAAGTTTTATAAAACATTCATAGATAGCAAGTTTAATCTTCAACTACTAGGTCCAAAATGCAAACATGTCTTTTCTAACACAAATGATTTTCATTCATTCATCTAAAACTGGATCAATATAACATAATGCTTAAGAGTACAGGCTTGCCCTGACTAGTGTGGCTCAGTTGGTTGGCCCTTAGTCCAAAAAAACAAAGGTCACTATTCACAACTCCCAATTCTCAGTCAGGGCACATGCCTGAGCTGCAGGTTCCATCCCCTGTAGGGGCACATACTGAAGGCAACCAATCGATGTACCTCTCTCACATAGATGTTTCTCTCCCTCTCTTTCTCCCTCCCTTCCCTCTTCTCTAAAAATAAATAAAATCTTTTTTAAGAAAGTGCACACTTAAGCCCTGGCCAGTGTGGTTCAGTTAGTTGGAGCATCATCCTGTAACCAAAGAGTCACCAGTTCAATTCCCAGTCAGGGCACATGTCCAGGTTGCAGGCTTGATATCTGGTTGTGGTGCTTGCAGGAGGCCAACCAGTGTTTCTCTCTCTCTCCCTTCCCCTCTCTCTCAAATGAGAATAAAATAAACCTTAAAAAAAAGTGCAAGCTCACGATAGATCCAAGTTCTACTACTTCCTAATCAATGTAACCTTAGACAAAGTAATTTTAAAATTCTGCTAAGCCTCATTTTCCTCATTTGTTCAATGGGATAGCAATAGATATAGCTCATGGAGTTGTGAGGATTAAAAGAAATCACCTATGAAAAGTATATGAACTCTACCCCAAATCGCTGTTTCAGTAGAGTTCTTATTTGGTTTTATGAAAACTCTAATGTAATAATGGAAACTGTAGCTACTTAAGGAAATTTTCACATTTCAGATTTGGTTTGGGTAACACTAAAAAAGGTTTAACAATATTAGTGAATACAAAAAGGTAAAAAAATACTGCTATAATTCATATCTATTTTTTCCATGTAAAAGTATACCATAGTGTAAGAAATAAGCCATTTTTCTCCATCTAACCCAAGAACTCATTTTACCATACCTGAAACAGAAAATACCTATTCACTCTATGAGGGAAAAAGCATGCATAATTACAAAAACCAAATCTCTCCAAGGACCTTAGTGATGTTATAAAGTGGGAAGCTGACAGAGGATGCCAAGCAATTTCAACTGGCACTACTGGATTGGCTACAAAACTATCATATATTGAAACTTCCTTTGTGATATGTCATATGATAATCTTAAATATACATATCACACAGGTACTTAAACCATATTACTCAGTTTGATAGGAATATTAAATTCCCTTTCTTGACATACTTTCTGTGCTTTAAAATAACCACAGCTTAGTGAGCTGGGGCAGAGGCAGCAGTGATTTACTCCTTCTAGTACAACACGATTTTTTCCCTCCCCTTCTCAGGGAATTTTTTTAGGGAAAAGAACTAATATAATCCACTCCAGTAATAATAAACAATTTTACGTAACCCATAGGCAATTATTTTTGTGAGGTTATAGATATATAGTCTATGCTTCTTTACACTTCCAAGACTGACTATTCAAAGTTGTGTCCATGGTGGACTTTAACAAATACTTTCATAACATAATACTGTAAGAACATAAAGGTGGCTGACATAGGTGGACTTTACATGTCAATATGTTTGCAAAATGTTGGATAAATACAATCTTATTGCAAAAGCAGTAAGAGAGGTTAGAGAGACTGTCACTTATTTAAAAAAAAAAACAACCAACACTCTCACATACAAACAAAAAATCCTCTGTAGCCAATCATTTCACAGTGTAAGCTGCCCTGTGGGTTTATGTCCTGGAAGTCTGCATGATGCTACACAGAGTGTTCCTAAGTGAGCACAGGCATTGTAAGGTGTGAACATTAATAAAGGGAAACTTCATTTGACATGGTGTCAGGAGGCCAGAAGGGGGTGCTCACATGCAGTACCAGGAGGGGGTCAAAGTAGAGGAAGGATTACTGATCAATTACAAAGCTCAACAAATAAATGCTCAATAGGAAAGAATACCAATGGTAGGTCCCAATATGAAAGATATACATTGCCTCTCCTATAAGAAATCCACCACCCCAGCATCTCAGCCAATGAAAAACCATCATCACCCTTAACTCTCAATTTTCTCCAATTAATTTCTGTTCAGAACTACCCTTACCAATTTTTATCTTCTCCATACAATAACTTTCCTCTTGTTTGACTGCTGGACTTGCCAATGGCTTTTGCTGTAGCTTGCTTGTCCTGAATTGTAATTCTTAATGTTCCCAAATAAACCCATTATTGCTAGTAAAATAACTTTTATTTTTGAGGCCAACAAAAGCAAGCTGAACAGATTTTCTTTATAGCACTTTTTTACACAGAGGAAATAGTAGTCTTAGGGCAACAGGTTTCCCATCCCTTTTATTATATGCAACAAAAGAAAGCAAGCTTAAGTGAACAGACTTTATATGGCCATAAAAGTGATGGACCTCTTGTTTTGTTTTTAAGAAAAACATATTCCACATTTTTGCCCTGTAATTATTTTGCATGACCTTTATTTCTCAAAGAAGGCTCAGGAACGATAAACCGTCCTCCCCAATAAAAAGCACAAAGTTGTTCTGTAAGTTCGGAGAAAGTCTGGGACTATTTCCCCTGTCCAGCCTTGGTCTCCACCTGAGATATTGATATACCTAATTCCAGTCAACAGTCACTGAACACCATGGCACTGGGTGGCTCAACTTAAATACTGTAATACAAGCAAGATTTTAATAAAAAGGAGAAAAAAAAAACAGGTGAGAGCCAATATACACGAGGCACCTTAACCAAGGACATGGAATTTTCTTGCTAGACAAACCCTTTGGGCTGCCAAACAGAAAGAACGGAAGCCCCCAAAAGGAGACCAGGTCGCTCGGGTGGTGGGTAGCAGAGGTAGGGCCTTCTCCCACACACCACCATCAAAGCACAGGACGTCACCAAAGGAGGCCCCAGCCAGAGCTAGCACCTGGCTGCTCCCGCACTGGGAGCACGCCTGCACGCCTGGCGTCCCGGGACATCCCTGCAGAGGCCTGCTTAGTGCGGTGCGGCAGACGCAGGCGCGGGGAAAGAGGGAGGGACAGCCCCAAGTTGAGGCTGCGAACAGGATAAGGGTGTGGAGGGCAAGGGTGTCCGAGCAGAGGAAGGGGCTGAGGTCTCACCCTTGTCGCACGCCAGCAAGAACAGCTTCTCATTCAGAGTGTTTTCCTCCTTCACCTCCCGCACATCCTTTAGCGCCATCACCTCGTTCGGCGGGGAAGAGGAGGATGGGGAAGAAAGCAAGGAGGAGGAGGAGGCGCCCGAGGGATCCGTGCCCGGATACAGGGCCGCCATCATCGCGTCCCATGCAGGGGGCAGGCCAGGAGACAGGGGCGCAGCGCACTCTGACCCCAGTCCCACCCCAGGGCTGGAAAAGGGATGGGTCGTTCCCAGGGCTGCCTCTGAGCGCGGCCCGTTGGCCCCGAAGGGCGTCGCGTCCTCCGGGAGCCAGCACTCGCCCTCCACGGACAGCCCCAGGTTGGTGGCAGCGCATGCACGGCCTCGCGGCCAGCGCCCCCTCCCCAGCCGCCTGCGCCCCGGCCGAGCTGGTCCTCGCCGGTCCGGGGACGACAGAGTGGCTGGTGCCAGGGCGGTGGCCGAGAGCGGGGCCGTGCCAGGAGCCGCAGCGGCCGCGTGGTGGCGGCCCGGTCCAGGCAGAGGATGGGAGAGCAGTGGGTGACAAGCTCCGAGAAGTGACTCTACGAACGTTGGGGTCCAGATCTGTGAGAACCGCAGGCAGAGCTGCGTCCCCAGGAGAGATGCTCACGACTCTCCTCACGTCATCTTCCGCTACGCGTCAGCTCTGACAGTGGGTGGAGCCTGCAGTGAGGCCAGGTTGGGCGGTAGGCGGGGCCTGAAGGTGGGCGTGGCCTAGGCCGCCCCGCCCTGTCCCGCTCCTAGAATACTGCCTGGTGCCAGACAGCTGCTTCCAAGGAGGAGGGCGGGCACAGCCTCGACTTCTCTCTGAGTCCAAGATGATCTCCCAGCTGTTCCCTGCAGCACAGAAGTAAATAACGCACTGTATGGCTCGTCGAGTCGCTGACAACGTAAGTTCAGTTGAACCCGTTTGTAGAATTGTCAGATTATTTCATATTCCTGTGTCCTCTGCCTCGCCGAGGCCAGAAGTGTCTGGTGTACTTATATTGTGCTAGCCACCGCATTTCTTAAGACTCCTGTTTTAACAGCTCGTTTGTGATTAGGACCACCCGTAGCATTCCTGATGCCATACATTTACTTGCATGTAATTCAGGGCTATTGACACGTAACCATAGGCAAGCACTTTTATAGGATCCACTCTGCATCACAGCCCTTCAATGGTTTCATCTTCACATTTATAAATATGTTTAAAAGGTGAGTATTATTTAGGCAAAAGCTAACTGAAGCACACACGTGCTACTTCCTTGAATAATTTCTTTTTTTACTCAAGCTTTAATTTAAAGCTGATTCCTTCACCTTTAAAACCTGGAGGGTGAGGGTGTCCTGGAAATTATTTGGCTTGAATAATTGTTACTGCTTCCTGCAACCAACCGTACAAAAATTGTGCCTTCAAGGCTTTAGGTTTGTAAGGCAACACATAAATTTACTTCCAAGTATCTTGTATTTGAGGGAAATACATCTTGTTCTGTTCAGATTGTTTTGTTCTATCCTGTCCCTGCCAACACCAACTCCCAAGTTTCTTAAATCTTTCTCATCATTCAAAGTCCTCTTTAGATCTTCTCTAAGAGGCCTTGCTAGACAGGATTGCCCACGTTTTCAAACATTTTCATGTGTTTACTTCAAAATAGTAAATTATCTATTGAATCACTTTAGCCTTGTAAAAAATCTTGTAATAGGTTGTAAATGTCCCCCATTGTACAATGTTAAGTTCAGTTCCAAGTTTGTGTATTTGCTGGAATGTCAAAGTTGCTCATTTTAAGTTTTTGGCCAGTGAACACAGTGCTACATATTTGGGTTTATGTGTGTGAGCTCATACAGTAAAACTTTTACTCAGCCGAACCACTCTAACCAAGACCCATCCAAAAATTCAAGTGTTTGATGGTAAAAATTTAGATGGCGCAGAGTTATACATATCACTTTTAAGTTTATGCAAGCTTCTCGGTTTAGGTAGTCCCATAGAACTTCAATGGTGCTGGATTGATTTCTTAGATTCAGGGGGAGTTTGCTCTTTGTTACCCAAAAGAATTACGAGGCATTCCAAAATATTATAGGGGTTTTCTTCCTTCAAAGTAAGCCTGTGTTGCAAGTGTATCCTGTTACTCTGAAGTCTTGGAATCAACTCAAATGCAGACAATTCTCTCTTGCCTCTCTGGCACATTCTTTATCTAGCACAAAGTGGGAGTATTTTAACATCACCTACATGATGTTTATTATGCATCCATAATGTGGAGACCAATGATGGAGTTACAACGAATGATGGAATGCAAGATTCAGAAGTAGCACATTACTCAGAGCAAGTTACCAAAGTATACAAGAGCCATCTCCAACTCCTGTTAAGAGAAAACCCAGATTCCGATCTAGTCCTATAAGTAACATAGACTCTTGTCTACATCTCCAAACTCCCTACCTCTCCTTCACTACTACTAGGCCATATTTGCCTAGTTCTTTTCCTAAAATGCCTACAAGCCTCTTCCTGTTTCACAGCCTTTGCACTTGTTCCCTCTGCTGAACACTTACATCTAGCTCATCATTCATATTGCCCAAATATCACATCCTTACAGACCTTCCCTGACTACCCAAACTAAAATAATCTTCACCCCAGTTCCCAAGTCAGTCTCTATCACATTACTGTTTTGTTTTTCCCACTACATTTATCACTACCTAAAATTCCCATTTGTTTATCATGTCTCCCTTTCCACGGATAGAAGATTCATGAAATCATGAAACTCTCTCTATTTTTTTCTCTGCTGGATCTCCAGGGACTAACATCATACCTGGTTCACAATAGACAAATTTATGTTATTGAATTGGTTGATTCAACAAAATTACTTCAGCACAAACTAAATGTGTAGTAATGTGCATTTGGTCTTTACTAAAATTGTTCATGTTAAAAGACCAGAGAACTGCCCTGGCCTGGTAACTCAGCTGGTTGGAACATGGTACCATATACCAAAGGGTTGCAGGTTCCATCCCCCGTTGGAGTACACAAGGGAGGCAACTGACTGATGTTTCTCTCTCACTTACTGCTTTCTTTAAAATCAATGAGCATATCCTCAGGTGAGAATTTTTTTTTTAAAAGACCACAGAACCACTTTTCTTCCCAACTGTATTTTGCCATGTATAATGTGCACATTTTTGCCCAAATTTTGAAGGGAAATATAAGGACGTGCATTATACATGGGTAGTACTAATTCTGTATCTATGTAAATTTTATATTCTTTTATTTATGCTTATGTGTTAAAAGTGTAACTCTAGAAAGCAAAAATTTCTCGTACCACAACGTGTTCAGAAATAAATGCTAAAATTCCTTTCTAATACAAAAAGCAACTATCTAAATATAAATAAATAAATAATTGAATTTAAAAATTAAAACAAAAGATTTTTTTTCCTGAAAGTTTGAGCCAAAATCATGGGTGCACATCATACATGGCAAAATACGATAATACATTTTGGGGTTTTTTTTTTGTTTGTGTGTTTTTTTTAAAGATTTTTATTTATTTATTTTCAGAGAGGGAAGGGAGGGAGAAAGAGAGAGAGAGAGAGAAAAACATCAATGTGCAGTTGCTAGGCGTCATGGCCTGCAACCCAGGCCATGTACCCTGGACTGGGAATCGAACCTGCGACACTTTGGTTCGCAGCCCGAGCTCAATCCACTGAGCTATGCCAGCCAGGGCTCATTTTTTTTTTTGGTTTTAATAATTAGTTTAACAATTAGTTTTACTAACTAGTAATTAGGAATTTTGTTTTACTAATTATTTTGGTTTCTCTTTCTGGAAAATTACCTTATGAGAGATACATTTTCATAGTTGTTATATTTTTCTTTAAATGAAATAAATACACATTTGTACATACACAGAATTTTTATTAAATATACATTGTGAGAAAAAGAACACACTAAAGTGCTAATTTCACATAAATCAGATAACTTAATAAATATAATGGTGAAAATGAAAAGGAAAAATATGATTTAAATAATTTCGCAAAAGAGCAGGAACATATCTTAATTGTCATATAAGAAAACAATCATCAAAATATAAAAAGAAAGGAAATCTCTCTTGTAGAAGAATATATTTCATAGTTCCACCTGTTGATAATTTCAGTTAAAAATTCTATTCTAGACACATGAGCAGTTTCACTTGTACTGAAATATACCTTTTAATCAGTGGTAAAAAGGAGAGTTAGACTTCTCATTCACACCGACACAAAGCAACAGCTTTTTTGTTGCACAGCAGTTTCACTGGCACTAATAGTGGAAGATGAATGAAGTAGACTTCTGAATTCAATTGTTAGCAAAGAATCTCTCTACTGCTAAAAATTCAGACAAAAATAGGTCTCAGGTAACACACTCATTAAGCAAACATTGCCATCTTGTAGAAGGCTATGGAAAAAAACATGTGAAAATACTCTATTTTGAATAGTAAGTAGCTTTCTGCTAAAGAAATTCAGTGGGCAGGTTCTAAGTTATTTAGGGCTTCAGTATAAATCAAAATTAGCATCTATAATATGAAGCTAACATTATAGTGTCAACATGTCTTGAAATTATCTAGCCAATGCTTGGCTATAAATATTTGGAAGAAGTCAGTTGAAAAATATATGCACATCAAAAATGAGTATTTCTAAAAGAAATGTTTATGTATCAAATATCTACAAACTGAAAAGTACACATGGTGTGGGGGTCACAATAAATACTTGGCTGACTTACCAATTATACATGATGTTTAAGAAAACCCAGATAATCCAGGTGAAAAAAAATATGTATACACACATTTCTCTAATGACATCCCTACAAACATATGTGCTCTGCCTGTCATTACCCAGCTAGCACATGTAAAGTATTGATGCAATTAAAATTACGTTTTAAGTAATTTTACTTAAGCTCTGGCTTTTTACATAAGAGAATGAACTTTGGGGTTTATTCAGGAGTAACATGTGTAAAATATTTAATGTTAATAGAACAATACTTGTCACTTAAAAGTTTTAAACAATACAGAAATTTACAGAAAAGTTGAAGTTTTAGACCACTGCACATAGAGGGGAAAAAACAGAGGGATTAAGCTGAATTATGACTTTGAATACTTTTATGATCAAAATTAACAGATACACACACAAATCAAAACACATTTCACAGTAGGACTTGCAAAAAATTTTTTGTATTGGTCTATTTTAAACCATGAGAAAGAAGGAATTAGTCTTGTTATAATGAGAATTTCAGGAAATGAAATTAATTTTATCATGAAATATCAGTTTGATAATGAACATATTCTATTAACAGTATCTACTAGTAAAGTAGTTGTGTTATCCAAAAAGGTCAACAAACTCTAGTATGAACAGGATATTGAACTCATTAGTGAATTTTACAACTGTTTTGAGCATACAAATAATCTCTGGTTTTATACCCACTACATTTCAGAATTCTGTAAACTGTGAGGCATTCAATATGTTTAATGTGGCAGAAAATCATACTTAATGTTTATTTTATTCTGTTCAGTCCTTTTCCCATTAAACATGCAAACACCGTCATAACCATCTTTGGTTTCACTTCTACGAGGTCATCAGGTAAGGCGTATATCCGGGCACCGATCTTTCGAGCCACTGAAATGGCATATCTTGAAAAGACAAGAAAGATATCTTGGTATTTGTTATCTACTGTGTTTTCACTTAATATGTGTTAACAAAAGAATTAAGATTTAACTTTACAAAAAGGTTATGTTTTTATGAGTCTTAAATCATATTCCCTACACAAACTGTACTTTACAATGTGAATTTTAAGAACATTGTAACCTTACCTGCAAGGATTTAAAAAAATTAAAAAGTCACTACATTCTAACATAAACCATAAAAGCTTACTTAGCATTGTTTAGCTTGTCTTCATCAGAAAGGTCTTCTCGCCTTATCATTTCTTGACGAACTGCATTTGGTGCAATGGCATCTATTAAATCTAGGACAGGTAAACTAGTGCTAATAGATCTGTCCTAAAAAATAAAGAATACATGAATATTCATATCAGACTAGAAGGTCATAACCACAAAACTGAGGGCAATTTATAAATTTTCTTTACACTTATCATTCAGATTTTCTGCAACCAGCACAAATCACAAACCATTCAAAATACACGTCTGCCCTGGCAGGGTGGCTCAGTTGGTTAGAAGGTTATCCCATACACCAAAAGTTTGTGGGTTTGATTCCTGGTCAGGGCATATACCTACCTACATTTCAGGTTGAATCCCTGGTTGGGGCATGTATGGGAGGTAACCAATCAATGTTTTGTTTGTTTTCCTTCCTTCCTTCCTTCCTTCCTTCCTTCCTTCCTTCCTTCCTTCCTTCCTTCCTTCCTTCCTTCCCCCCTCCCTCCCTCCCTCTCCCTATTTCTCTAAAATCAATAAGCATATTTATTTTTAAATTAATGAATAAATAAAATACACTTTTCCTTCCATCTTTCCATCTTTCCAGAGCTTACAGTGTAGAGAGTTGTCACCACACCTAAGGTTTGTGGATATGATGATTCCTAAAGTGTGCTAACTACAGCATTTATTCTATAAAAAATAAATAGCTTTTGAAAGGGAGAAGATAAATTTTAAATGAATACTTTTGCAATTTTAGTAATAATATATTTTTTAGAGCATGGATTCCTAAGCCTTCACTTAATATTTTTTCAGAAAGAAAAGTGATAGTGGAAAGGAACTAATATCTACAAAGGCATTATTTTCATTGCCTTACATGTTCAGCTTATTTAATCCCTAAAGATAAAGAATATAAATTTCACAGAGCTCAAGTGATTTGTTCACAAAACCAGTAAGTACAGAATCACTATTTGAACCCATAACTGCCCCACTCCAAGATTCTCTACAGCTAAATTCCAATGGATAGAGCATTGCAGTTGAAGTCAGAAATCCTGGTCTGAAGCGATGTTACCATTTACTAGTACTTGCACAAATTATGTGTTGTCTCTCAGCTTGAATAGTGGCCACTGTTGGTTGCCTATCCACAATCTACTCCTTACTATATAACTTTCTCCAGCCTAACAAAATTCACATTTTGCTCTGTATTCACACTTCCCACACATGGATATGTGCTCCAAGGAAAACTGACCCCCTCCACAGCCCCAGGGGTGTCCTGAATTAGTCTAGGCCAGGGGTGTCAAAGTCATTTTCACTGGGGGCCACATCAGCCTCACAGTTGTCTTCAAAGGGCCGAATGTAATTTCAACTCCTTAGCAGTTAAAGAGTCATTACATTTATACAGTCCTAAAATTATTTTGGCCCTTTGAAGGCAACCATGAGGTTGATGTGGTACCTGTGAAAATGAGTGTGACACCCCTGTCTAGATCATGAATTCTGAGGGTGGGGTGATCAAGTTACTCTTTTTATCTATACAGATGTAACATTCAGTAACATCTATGTTGTTAAAATTTCATGGGGGAGGAGTGTTTAGGAAGAAAATGTCTAAAAAGACTTCTTGGGTGAACAATAATGAAAAACAGTTTGAAAAACATTGGTCTAAGCCACACAGAGTCTAAGCCACACTTATTTAATTCAGGCCTGATTTAATTTAATTGGAGGCCCTTCCTATTCGGGAAGAGTATGGAAAGCCAGCAGTTCCTCCTCTTAGCTGTGAATGACAGGATAAAACCTCTGTTACCGCAAGTGATCCTGTAACCAAGAGGAGAACCAGCTTTAGGGTGAAGATGGCCGTTTAGATGGCAAAGCAGAGATGGACAAAAATCTGAGTCCTGAATGACACACTTCAATTACTAGCTCAGCCAAGTCTGAAGTCTATGCTACACCTCTGGATTTCTGCTGTTGTTCTGTAACTTTACTTTTGGTTTAAAGCACTTTAAATTGGGTTTCTGTTACTTGAAGTCAAAACACTCTTCCTAATTATTACAATGGAAATGTCACAGGACTCCTATGTATATTAAGATAATATAAGTGAAACCATCCAGTACAGTTCCTAGCCAAATGTCATTAATATTTGATAAAACATTGAAATAGAGTAATAGGTTGCTCTCTTGGGGCCATGATCTATGGGTCACTGCATTTATCGATTTCAGAAAAATTATATTCTTCATTTTCAGGGATGTTCATTGCATGAAACATTTGAGGGGCATAGAAATAGAGGGGTACAAATAATTAGGGTCTTTCAGCCTGTCTCATGCTACTAATTGGGATTTGTTTTTTGGCATCTCACAGCTGTTTTTCCAATGTGTAGTCTGCAGAACACCTACATGAAAATCATCTGAGGTGCTTGTTAAAAGCATAAATTTATCCCTATGCTCAAATTCATGAGTCTGTGGATGGGGCTAGGAGTCCACATTTTTAATAAGCTTTCTAGATGCACACTACATTTTCTAAAATTAAACTTAACATCAATGTAATTATAATAAATTGATAATTTCTATGCACTTGCTTTTTGTAATATTTTGTGGTGATTCAAAAACAGACAAGTGTCTTAGTTGTGCTATATTTAGATCATTTATTGACATATTTGTGAGAGTTTTTAAGTTTGGGGAAAATTGTTCATTTGTTTTATTTTGTTTCTCAGCTTTACTGAGGTGAAACTGACAAATGAAGTTGTGAGATATTTGAAGTGTATGTCTTGATGTTATTTATATATTGTGAAAGGATTCCTCCCATCTAGTTAATCAACACATCCATCAGCTCTTCTACTGACATATTTATTTTTATATGTTATGATGAAAACATGTAAGTTCTACTCTCAGCAAAATTCAGCTATACAATATAGTATTAACTACGGTCACCGTTTCATATATTAGATCCTCAGATTTTATTAATCTTATAGCTGAAAGTTTATACCCTTTGTGCTATTTTAAATATTTCTTCACTTAAATATAGGAAGCAAGGATTTTTCCACCTATTTCCCTGTGATTCATTTTAGGAAAAACTTTATTGAGTTGAATGAAAACTTAAGTTTTAAAGATTATATGAGATCCCTTATTTCCTATTTCCAAGAAAACAGGCCTATCTTCCAACTCCTCTGATTTGTATATTACCAATGAAAAACATTTTACTTTTGCAAAGGAGTAGGGGTTCTAGTAAAACCCTTGGTTTAGTATATAAATGTATTTTCATCATTTTCCTTCCACATTCCTTAACTTACTCATAAAGAAACCACTTAAATAAAATGAATATGTAGAATCTTAAAGACAACTAGCCTAGAGTTAGGCTAGGTTTTTCAAGATAATGAATTATACCATCTCTTTTTTCTTAATTTGACATGCATTCCTATTAGAACATTCCATTCCATTGTTCCTCCTGTCATTTCTGAAAGTCAAAGTGGGAGGAAAATGATGTGGCTGCCGGAGTTCCCTAAAAAGCCTACAGGAACCTTTCAGCATGTGATGCTCTTTAACATACTGGCAGTACCAAGAGCTTAGGAAGCCTCACTTATTGAGCCCCTAATATGTGCCACATACTACTGAGCACTTTGTATTTCTCAACTTATTAGGCTGACAACAAACTCAGAAGATAGGTACTATTAATATTTACATTTTAAATATGGGAAAACTGAGGCACAGAGAAATTAATAATTTTCCTAAGGTCACACAGCTACTAAATGATAAGCAACAAGTAAATTTAGCTTTATTCATCAAGAGATGTAGATCAGATGCTAATATAAACTGCTAAGGTTTCTATATAACACATGCCCTTCTTGTGTGCTTCCTGCTTCACTTAGCTGATTTCTCCAGTATTACTGACACCCCATCGGATTCCAGTTTTCTCATTTGCCTCCTTCCCTGAAGAGTGAGCTCTTTGAAGGCACTGTGTCGCTACTATGACTAGCAAAGCACCTGACACAAGGTAAGCTTTGAATACAGGGGATGGCAAAAGTAGGTTTACAGCTGTTTGTATAGAAAAAGACATGCAGGTTATGATTATTACAGTAGTTTTATTAACTCAGGAGAATGTCACAATGCAGCTGCCCACTTTTGATCACCCTTGCATTTATGGAATGAATGAGCAATATGCCACACAGCTTATAAGTGGCTGAGCCGAAGCCAGACCCAGGGCCAGGAATGCCATCGCTTGGTTTTTCATCCTGTAGTTAGACATATCTGGGTGTGAAATCCAGCTATTCTGCTATAGATTGAGGGGGGAAAAGAAACAATAATGTGTACAATGCTTAGCATAGTGACACATAAGACTCAATAAATGGCATTGTGATTATTATTATTGGCTGATACACAACCTCCTTGTATTCTTGGTGAGGAAAATTACTTTGCCAGTAAAAGGGTAAATTTGCCTTTTATAAAATTTCTAGGTATAGCACTGCCTTAATTATGATTAATAGGTTCTTACTAATACTATTCATAGCTTTCAAACATACATAATGCCTTCTTACATTTGGAAAAAACCTTCCACCCTAACTGTACTTCAGCATTCGCTGCCACATTTCTTAACTATCTATACTCTCTAAAGGTTTTATTATCAAGCACCTACTAAATGTCAAGTGCTTCTGGAGTGTGTTTCTGCCACCTCACCTTTAAGTGAAACCATACTCGCAAGGCTACTTTTCTTGGTGAGTTCTCTCCCTTAAAGGGTTTGTGTACTCCCATTTTTCAACTATCTCTTCTATTCAACTGATCGCCAAGTCTGTATTCCCAGTTTTGTATCTCCTTTCATCCAACTCCTCACACTTCCTGAAAACTACCAAATGCAACAAGCATGAAACTGAATCCATCTTCATTGCAGCTACACCTCATGAAAATCCCATTTTTGTTATCATGTTTTCCATTTACCCAGGCTCCAAATCAAAAGTTTTTACTCCTCTCTCTCTCCCTAAATCAAGCATCCCTAAATCAAGCATCCAAATCCTACTTCTTCTTTTACAACAGCAAATAACTCTTCATTCTTAACACTCTCAGTGCCTACCCCAGACTCCAGATCCTTCATTTCACACCTTAACTCTCAGCCTCAGCTTCTTATGCACTGTCCTTGGATTTGAACCATTCTTCCTCCAACACATCCTGCTTACCACATTTGAGAACAATATTCCTAAACAGTCATTCTCCCTACAAGACTGACCTTACCAACATCCTGTGTTAAGGCCAGAATCCTCCACAATATCAGCCCAGGCTATATCTTGCATTATAACCCCTAGGAACCACGCTCTAGCCAAAGTATTTCTTCTAACCTTCTTGGACTTGCCTTTATTCAAGACAGACCCCTTGTAGCTTGTACCACCCCTCTTGTTCCCCACAAATTCAAATCCTTCCTCCTCTCTATGGTGCTTAAATCAAATTCAACTTTATCACTCTCCACAAATTCAAATCCCTCTTCTTTATAGTACTCAAATCAAATTCAACTCTATCCCTCTTCACTTTACTTGGACCATTCACTTGGAAATGATCGATTGGATTTATCCATTGTATTAGTTGCATTAATTCTTTGGTATTTATCATTTATTTTATAGTATCATTTCCTTCTCAGTTATACAAATTTGTCTTTCAAATAAATGGTGAACCCTCTGAGGGCCAAGTTAATTTCTTATACTCTATGTCTTCTTCTTTGCTTAGAAATGTGGCTAATGGTAAAAGCTCAATAAATATGTGTTATTTCATTCCTAAATATTTTGATTGTATTTGATTTAATTATATACATGCTTAAAATTTTTCACAAATATACAAAGGCGTATAATTCAATAAAGTAATTTTAATGAATAACTGTCAGAGAATTTTCTATGTCCCCTTTCCTATTGTACATTTTTAAGTTGTGTTTTATGTCTAAAATATGTAAAGATATATCATGGACTAATATGTTCATTTTTTAAAATAAACAACATTAAAAACTCAATATCATTAGTTCCTTCCATGATGTTAAAGAAAAAACACACTTGAACTAGGACTCAGGCAACATCTCTGCCAACCTCCAGATGTCCTGTTAAAGATAAAATCTATCAATTTCTGACATTTTTTCTGCTCCACAATGTTGTTAAATACATGAGCAAAGGCAAAGACAAGAATAAAGATGGGTAGATAACTCTTAGGAGAACTTAGGGATTCATCTCTTTGCACTCTCATTTCACTAAAAGATACAAATTGCTGATTTTTCACTTAAAATCACAAACACGAGGCTCACTCAATATGTATAAGCAGACATGCTTAGTTGCAGATAACATCAGCTTGCATGCAAAAGCAAAACAATGAAGATGCATGAAAATTAGTGGATGTGGATGTGCAAATTACATTTTGAATGCTTTATGAATCATCCACAAATGCTTGGAAGTGAGTGTTAAGTGCCATTATGAAGCCACATGACAATTTTTTTTTCCTACCAGTTTTCTCAATTCCCACTTGAATCCATTTGGCTGGCTCTGTTATGCCTTGGAAATGATGTCAATAGAATTCTGAGATTGCTGCTAGGGAGCACAAAACATTACAGGTCCTATAGAAACAGTGGGTTTTTAGCTATCTTTTTCATCTGACAGTTGAATTTTTGGCTCTATTCTATTTCTTTTTTAAGATTAGATGATCAGAGTCTGATAATACTAACCTGCATTTATACTCAATAGGACAACCAATCGAAACCTAAGAATTCAAACTGCATGCTTTTGATTTACACATACCAAATAATCAGTATGCCCAAGCTCACAAATTGTGTTCCTGATATATAAATTAATGTAGTTCTGAACCTAAACCAACATAATTCCCAATAAAAATTTCTTCCTAGACTTAATTTCTTATCAAAAAGATTTTAAATAGCTTTTAATTACCTTGAAGCTGGAAATAGAAGTATTTTTATTTGCATTTTTTAGAGTCTGGTTGACCCATTTAATTATAATTTCATCATTTACTTTTTCACCTTCTCCAAGATCTGATAACACATTCAATGTGTATCTGTAACAGAAAAGATGTGTATTTGAGACTGAAAGGGGTGAAATTTGCCCCACATCATTTATATCAATATTTAGATAAATATTTAAGAAATATTTCAGTTCTAATAAATATTTCTAATTATAGTCTGGTATTTGCACTTAGTTACATTCCAAAGTTACAAAGCTCAGTAATCAGAAAAACTATGATATGGTATTTAAAAAAAAATTAAAATGACTCCTCACAAGGCAGTTTTTAAGAGACATTAAAAACAGTGAGTGTTCTGAGAGATTTGTCCACTTTTAAAATGAAGAATTATTTGCAAAGAATATACTGTCAACAGTAAATCATTTAACAATTAATATTTTCATAGTATATTTCTTCTGTTTGTTATTCTTCAAAATGAACTAAAATTATAGTTCAAATGATTTGCTGAAGGAAACTCACAGTGTTGCTATGAACATACCAGCCCTTACCTTCTCATCAGCTGCCACACCAGCGCCAGAGTAAGTGTTGCATTCCCCTCGTTCAGGTCCTGCCCAGCAATGCCAACCAGGGAGAAGTTGGCTTTATTCTTCCCCAGGTCCACTGCATAGTTACAGTTTTCAATCTATACATAAGTAAAAGTGTTGGTATAAAAACAAATTTTAAAAGATACATCTCTGGAATGTGCGTACTTAGTTCAGTCATCTGTAAGATAACTATGGCAACACCTTAACTTTATATGACAGAATTCATTTCATAGTAACCCAGTGGAATTAAGAAAATAATTATTCCAACTTTATAGCTGAAGATATCCAAAGCACTGAGGGTTAACCTGGATAAACAACTGGCTGGGAAGTTTTAAGATCCTCTCTTACTTTAAAAGTCTTGACTGTCCAAGATTATACTGTCCAGATTAGTGGCAAATCTGTGACTAAAAACCTAGGTTCCCTGAATTCCATTAATAGAGGAAATAAATACAGTTTTGTCTAAACTTAAAATTAAGCAATAGAGAAGAAAGTGTTTCATTAACAGTTTAACATCATCTCCAATATTTTTTATCTGGATCTTATTCATCCTCTGAAATTCCACTTTTACCCCACTTTCTTCAACAAAGGCTTAATCTTAACTGTACCAGCTGATAATAATCCAACCCTAGTTTGAACTCCTGATAATGCTTATTTTGTAATGCATACGCACCATCATATAGTTAACTTAGCATTTTATGTACTTTCTTTTGCCAACCATAGCAAAGCTCCTTTTAAAGGGCAAAAACTATAATGTATACCAATCTATTATCATACTCTCCCCACACCACCTCAGCCCAGCACCCAGCACAGTGCCCTGCCTACGGTAAGAATCTGATTAAGGAACCCCAAGTAAATTATTTACACACATATATGATTTACATTATACACATAAAATTTCTATGTATTTGAGTATTTTATCTCCACCAAAATTATAAGCTCTTGTAATCTTGTAAAATATCACCAGTAGTAAAAACTACTTAATACTTTTTAGAATAAATTAAACTTCAGTTAAGAAAAATAGTATAACTGGTGTCTCCTGATTTTCTTTCCCAAATTAGTTGAGGCCTCATTATAAAACAATTCAATCTGGAATACATAGAAACGTATTTCTAAGAATAAAAAAATACTTCCAGAAAAAGTGAGAAAGGAGCCACCCAATCATAGATAATAACAGATAAAGGGGCCACCCAATAATTTACACAAATAAATGATTATTGTTCTTTAAAAAAGAGAATTCAAATTCCCAAAGGTCAGTGTGTAACAAATAAAAATGCAAAAATACCCTTTGAATCTGCTGTAATATCTGCTTAGTTCCCTTAATAAGTTAAATAAAATCTTTCATATGTATTCATTTCCTTAAAATACAGGGAAATAAATAATATCCCAATATTCTTATTTTTCCTAGTAGTCATATTACACCAGCAATTTAGTCTCCTACCAGAAGTATATGCTATAGAAATGCACAGATTTGAAAACAATGGAAGAGACTTCTACTTTATGGAAAACAACATCAAAGCTCTGATGATGTAACAGTGTGAATGGGAGAGAGAGATAAAACCCAACATATTTTCCAATGACATCCATTTCCTTAGGAAAATTTTCTAGCAAATCATAATAATCACTTAAATATAACATGTGTTATAATTAAAGGCCATTTGTTTTATAGTTTGACCAAAATTCCTGAGAGGGATAATGGTCAGAAAGGAGGTAAGAATTGCTAGTCTAGAGACCTGAGGTACTAGATATGACAAGCACTGAAAGGAAAAATGGAAATGAATGCTAGCATAAGAGAAAGATGTGTCCTAGGGGGAGGGAAAGAGGGAGAGAAAAGGAAGGAGCGGGGAGGGGAAAAAAGAAAGGGAGGGAGAGGGAGAGAAAGAGAGAAGTCCATGTGAGAGAGAAACATGGATTGGTTGCGTCCCCCTCACCTTGACCAGGGTTCAAACCTGCACCCAAGGTATTTGCCCTGAGCAGGAATCGAACCCTCAACCTTTCAATCCATGGGACAGTGCTCCAACCAACTGAGCCACCCGGACAGGGCTTTTTGGCAACATTTGATTCTAAATTTGGCAAAGCACTTAAGCTCTGAAAAGACACAAAACTAAAGGAAGAATAAGAAATCAGGTTCCTAGAAGTAAGCCATGCTATGGTAGTAGTTAACACTCTGAAAATAAATCTACTCCCTGAGAATGTAAATGCACAAAGTTCAGAGCACTGGGCAAGAACAGGAACTTAAAATTCCTGAAGCTGTCAGGCTAAAAATCTAGGGGGTTGTAAAAGGTAAGAATGAACACAACAAAAGGAAAAAAAAATGGGAGGGTGCAGTCTCATAGTGTTAATGGAAGAAATGATTACCAAGCACTTCAAATATTTTGAACAAAAGTAAAGCTTAGATCATTTGGAAAATGAGAAAAACCACATAATGGGACACTGAGGAAATAATGAAGAAAGACTATTTAAGTGGTGCAGCCTTATTAACTTTACATATGAAGCAAAGTGATATCTGGTGATGAATGTACAAAGTCCATAAAATAAGTCTCTATGATACTGGGTCATGAAAATACTGCTTCTTTAAACATCTTGAATTTATTTCAAGTCTTATGCTTCATTCTATAAACAGCTGTATTTGTTAAAAAGAAGCACTCTACCTATCATTCATTTGTGACCTCTTATAATTAACATATAAATTCCAGGTGCAATAACTGGTTTAATTTTTGTTTTCCTGTTACAATTTGCATCTGGAAAACTGAAAAACCTTACATGAAATTAGTTAACAAATTTTTCTGAATTCTACTTTCATGATTAGAATTGTAGACAAATCAAATAAAATTTAAAATGTAGGTATGTCTAACTACTAGATATATTGAAAAATATGAATATAAGCCTCTTATAATCATACTACTTATTTAACTAATTTTAATATCATGATGCATTTCCTTTTGTATTTTTAAAAATAGTTTTTAAAGTATAAATTCATTCTAGAAATGTGAAGAATAGAAGTCCTTTTGGAATGCATGCCTTTCTGTGTATATTTTAAACAAATTAGATTCATATGCATATGCCATTTTGTACCATTTCCATGTCACTATTAGTGAAATACTTAAAATGCTATTTTTCAAAAAGATTTTATTTTTTTTTGAGAGAGGGTAAGGGAGGAAGAAAAGGGGGGAGAGAAAATATCAATGTGTGGCTGCCTCTCACACACCCCCCACTGGGGACCTGCCCTGCAACCCAGGCATGTGCCCTGATGGGGAATCGAATCAGCGACCCCTTGGTTCACAGGCCAGCACTCAGTCCACTGAGCCACTGCAGGCAGGGCTTAAAATGCTATTTTTAATAATAAACCCTACCTCATCTATGGGTGTATCTTTTTTTATTAACCCATTATGGAACACCTAAATTATTTTGATTTTTTTGCTCTGTAAATATTGCTATGAGTATTTTGGCACACAATTTCCTATCTTTTTCATTATTTCATCAGGTTAGGTAATAAGTGAAAATAATTTTTTTTCAACCAGCCACTTTTTGCTTTGTGGGAAAATGCCTAACCAACTGAGTCATACCAGCCTGGGCTCAGTATTATTATTATTATTTTTAATTATATTTTATTGATTATGCCATTACAGTTGTCCTGATTTTTCCCTTTGCTCCCTTCCACCCAGCAGCCTCCACTCCCTAAGGCAATCCCCCTACAATTGTTCATGTGCATGGGTCATCCAAGTTAGTTCTTTGGCTATTCCATTTCCTAAACTGTACTTTACATCCCCATGGCTATTCTGTAACTACCCTTTTATACTGCTTAATTCCCTCACCTCTTCACCCCTTTCCACAAAAACCTCTCCCAACTGACAACCATCAAAACATTCTCTGTATCCATGATTCTGTCTCTGATCTTCTTGTTTGCTTAGTTTGTTTTTCAGATTCAATTGTTGGTAGATTTGTACTTATTGCCAATAAAGTCCCTTTAATGTTTCACATAATGGTTTGGTGACAATGAACTCCTTTGTTTTTCTTTGGCTGGGGAGCTCTTCATCTGCCCTTCGATTCTAAATGATGGTTTTGCTGGGTAGAGCAATCTTGGCTGTAGGTCCCTGCTTTTCATCACTTAGAATATTTCTTGCCAGTCCCTTCTAGCCTGCAAAGATTCTTTTGAGAAATCAGCTGACAGTCTTATGGGAATTCCCCTGTAGGTAACTAACTGCTTTTCTTTTGCTGCTTTTAAGATTTTCCCTTTATCTTTAACCTTGAGCATTTTACTCATGATGTGTCTTGGACTGGGCCTCTTTGTATCCATCTTGTTCGGGACTCTCTGAGCTTCCTAGACTTCCTTGTCTATTTCCTTCACCAAATTAGCAAAGTTTTCTTTCATTATTTTTTCAAATACATTTCCAGTTTCTTGCTTTCTCTTCTCCTTCTGGTACCCCCATGATGCAAATGTTGGACCTGTTGCAGTTGTCCCAGAGGCTTCTTATATTGTGTTTTTTTTTTTGGATTTTTTCTTCTTCTTCTTGTTCTGATTGGTTATTTTTTGCCTCTTTACGTTCCATAACATTTGATTTGACTCTCAGCTTCACACACTCTACTGTTGTTTCACTGTAAATTGTTCTTTATTTCAATTGTTGTATCCTTCATTTCTGACAATCTTTTTAATGCTGCTGAGATGCTCACTAAGTTCCTTCAGCATCCTTATTACCAGTGTTCTGAAGTCTGCATCTGATAGATTGCTTACCTCCATTTTGTTGAGCTCTTTTTCTAGAATTTTGATCTGCTCCTTCATTTGGGCCATTTTCTTTGTCTCACTTAAGCAGCCTCCCTGTGTTTGTTTCTATGTATTGGGTAGAGCTGCTCTGACTGTGTCTTGGAAGTCTGGCTAACTGTAACAGGTATCCTGTAGGGTCTGGTGGCACAGCCTTCCCTACCACCCAAGCTGGGTACTCGAGGTATGCCTTTTGTGTGTAGAGCTGAGTACATCCGCTTCTTGTAGTTGAGCCTTGGTTGTCACTGGCAGGTCAATAGGAGGGATTCACCCAGGCCTGTCAGCTGCAAGGATTGGCTGTGACCACTGATCACCAACATGTGCTCTCCATGGAAGATCAGCTCTGCAGAGGCAGGGTGATGGTGCTCCAGCGTGGTCTGTAACTGCCCACTGGGTATGCTGACACTAAGGTTTCCTGGGTGGTATGGGCTAAGGTCAGCTCCCACCTGTGTTTTATCTGGGGCCACCCTGCCTTAGCTATAGAGCAATCTGAAATGGATGCTACTTGTACTGGACTTGGAGATTCCCAGGTAAAGCCAAGCTGTGAATCTAGTCCAGCTTCTGCTAGTGTTGAACAACCAGGGCTCAATAAGGCCAGTAGTTGTAGTTTGAGAAGATTTAGGAAGTTTGTGCAGCATGAGTCCAGACATTCCAGACATTCGTATGGAAAAGCAGCTTGGGTGGGCTGGTAAGTTGGGTGGGGAGGAATCTCTGGAGATCTCCAAGGTGGGTCAAACAGTGTTAGCCAGCTTGCTGGCTTTGTAGGGGGAAGATTTAATAAAAGGACAATGGCCTCTGCTTGTTTTTTATAATATATTTTGATAATGCTATTACAGTTGTCCCATTATTCCTTTCATTCCCCTCCACCCTGCACATCCTCTCCCACCCACATTCCTCCCCTTTAGTTCATGTCCATGTGTCATAAGTTCTTTAGCTTCTACATTTCCCATACTATTCTTGCCCTCCCCCATCTATTTTCTACCTCCCATCTATGCTACTTATTCTCTGTACCTTTTCCCCCTCTCACTCCCCTGTTGCTAACCCTCCATGTGATCTCCATTTCTGTGGTTCTGTTCCTGTTCTAGTTGTTTGCTTAGTTTCTTTTTGTTTTGTTTTAGGTGTGGTTGTTAATAATTGTGAGTTTGCTGTCATTTTACTATGCATGTTTTTTATCTTCTTTTTCTTTGATAAGTCCCTTTAACATTTCATAAAATAAGGGCTTGGTGATGATAAACTCCTTTAACTTGACCTTATCTGAGAAGCACTTTATCTGCCCTTCCATTCTAAATGAAAACTTAGCTGGATAGAGCAATCTAGGATGTAGGTCCTTGTCTTTCATGACTTAAAATACTTCTTTCCAGCCCCTTCTTGCCTATAAGGTCTCTTTTCAGAAATCAGCTAACAGTCTGATGGGAACTCCTTTGTAGGTGACTGTCCCCTTATCTCTTGCTGCTTCTAGAATTCTCTCCTTCATTTTAATCTTGGGTAATGTAATTATGATGTGCCTTGGTGTGTTCCTTCTTGGGTCCAACTTCTTTGGGGCTCTCTGAGCTTCCTGGACTTCCTGGAGGTCTATTTCCTTGCCAAAATGGGGAAGTTCTCCTTTATTATTTGTTCAAGTAAGTTTCCACTTTTTACTCTTCCTCTTCTCCTTCTGGTACCCCTATAATTCAGATGTTGGAATGTTTAAAGATGTCTGGAGGTTCCTAAGCTTCTCCTCATTTTTTTGAATTCTTATTTCCCCATTCTTTTCTGTTTGGTTGTTTCTTTCTTCCTTCTGGTCCACTCTATTGTTTTGAGTCCCAGTTTCCTTCCCATCACTATTGGTTCCCTGTACATATTCCTTCATTTCTCTTATCGTAGCCTGCATTTGTTCATCTAATTTGCAACCAAAATCAACCAATTCTGTGAGCATTCTGATCACCAGTGCTTTGGACTGTGCATCTGATAGGTTGGCTATCTCTCAGTCGCTTAAAAGTACTGACTCTGGGGCTTTTAATTCTGTTTGAGCCATCTTTTTTTTTTCCTTTGGTCTGGACGCACCTGTTATATATGAGGGGCAGAGCCTTAGGTGTTCACTAGGGCGAGGCACCCCAGTCACTGGGTTGTGACACTGTATGTAGGGTGGGGGTCCAAGAGAAACAATGGCACCTGCTCTGCTCTCTGTCAGACCTCAGTCCCTTCTACCGCGTCCCCTGAGCAAACTGGTCCCCTCTGGTGCCGATTCCCGTGTGGGTGCGCTTTTGCACCCTATGGGACTTTCCAGTGACCTTTCCTGTGAGGCTGGGAGTCTCTCTCTGCATTTCAATCCCCACAGGTGTTTTCAATCAGTGTTCTGAGGCTCTACTTCCCAGCACTGTGATCCTGGGTTGTGCGCAGTGCCTTGCTTCACAATTCCTGCCTCTCTGGGTCTGCCGTTTGCCACCCCTTGGCCAGGGTCAGCAAGCTGCTACTTGCGCGCCCAGGGTCTGCCTGCTGTGGTCTTTTGTGCCTCGGATGTCTTACGCTCCCGATCCCAAAGCTCTCTGTTCTCCGCACTGCAACCCCCACCCGGCTGCCTGACTCCTCCCCTCCTACTGGTTAGGATCAACGGATCTATTTTAACTTGTTGGTTGTCTGACTTCCATACAGTTCAATTTTCTGTCAGTTCTGGTTGTTATTCTATTTCTAAATTATTGTTGTCCCTATGTTGGTTATGCCAGGAGGCACAGTGTGTCTACCTATGCCTCTATCTTGGCCAGAAGACCTCTGCCTGTTTTGATGCCAGACACTTCAGTTTCTCCCTGTATGCCACTAGTGCCTTTCAAGGTGCTAACCCACTGCTGGAGCTCAGGGGCAGTGAGTCTGAATAGGTGATTCCATAGGTGGGTTCTTGGAAGAGGAACTGCTTGGGGCTCCATAAGTTTCTTCCACTAACTCAATCCCCACTGGTTTTCACAGCCAGAAGCTGTAGGGACTTATCTTCTTGGCACTGGAACCCTGTGCTGGGGGGCCTGGTCTGCAGCTGGGACTCCTCACTCATGAGATATCCCTTCCAAATTTTTATTCACCACACATGGGTGTGGGACTAGCCCATTCCATGTCTGCACCTCTCCTACTAGTCTGGATGGATGTGGTTTCTGTAATTCCATAGTTGTCAGACTCCCATTCAACTCGAGTTCTAATGGTTCTGAGTAATGGTGGTTCTATATTTTAGTTATAATTTTGATGTGGCTATGCAAAGAGGCCAGCCATGTCTGCTTATGCTGCCATCTTGACTAGGAGTCCCAATAAGTGAAATTATTAAATCAAAGGACTTTTTGAAGATTACTGATATGCGTTACCAGACTGAATCTAGAAAGATTATACAACAAACATTTCCTCTAACAGTGAATGCAATACAATCTAATTGTTTATTTCAAATTGCATTTCTTGTGTATTATCCATTGTTCTTTTTCTATAAATTATTCACTCATATTGTCCACTTTACTATTCTACTACTATGATTTTGGTGATAGCAATCACATTTTAGAAGTTGATTTGTATGAAATATTTATGTTAAGGATATTAACTATTTACCATATTTATTGCTAATATGTCTCCAAGTTTATTATTTGTTTGCTTTTTAATTTTGCTTATGGTATTTACTTTTGTATACATAAGTTTAGAAGTCTCTTGGTAAAATTCTACCCTTTCTCAAAGGCTAACTCAAAAACCACCTCCTGCATGGACCTTCTCATGATACATGTACCCTGTAGGCTTTATTCCTTAGAAATCATAATATTTGCTTTTGTGTACACTGTACTGTACCATAGTTATACTCATATCTCCCTCACCTCCTTAGGGCTTCCTGAAGACCAATTCCATGCCTTGTACTATTTTATATATTGCATTGCCCTGTACAAGTATTCAATAAATATATGTTGAAAAATACTAACAAAAAACCAGTAAAGATTTGGCAAGTTCTGGCAATATAAAATAGTAATGCATTTATGGTGCATCTCAGACAACATTAAGTACTATAACTTGCTAAAGAGAAAAATGAATATATAAATTATCTCTGACTGGGAAAACTGCCTTCATCCTTCCAAACATGCATTAAAGCACACTTGTAAATAGGCTATTCAGCTTAACACATTTGGTTTGAATCAGAACTGTGAGAAGAGATCACACTTTACTAAGCTTTGAAAGAACTCTAAACCTTCTGTTTTATATCAAACAATAACAACATTATTTCATTCACCTTCTTCATGTTCCCTCCAAGGGCAGGATAAGGAGGTTTGTTAACATGGCTCCAGTTGACTGGCACGCGGATCATTTCATAGAGCTGGAAGATCACTAAAGCATCTGCGAGATCACTAAAACAGGAGGAAAAGAAGGTGAGGGCAGAGGAAATGTTGGCATTATCTAATTTCATTAAGCACACTGGAAATGGGCTTATGTCTTTAAAAATACAAAACAGTCATTTAATGATTAAAGAAGGACAGGATACATCATTTGACCCAGAACTTCTAGAGATCTGTCCAAAATTTTTTCATAAATGTTTACAGACCTATACATGTACAACAACATTCATTGCCATACTATTTATAAACTTGGGAATGACCTGAAGACCTGGCAGTAGAGGGCCACTGAATAAACGGTCCATACCATGGACTCCTGGACCACCATAAGACATAATGAGGCAGATTTCTATGTCCTAACATGAAAAGCTTTATAAGACATATTATGATTACAAAAGGAACTGGCAGAACACTGCATAGTTTGTTATTTCTCAAATTTATTTTCAAAATTGAGACCATTTAAATACCTAAATATGCTATGGGCTGTTAACAGTGATTATCTCTGGGCCAGAAAAAAAGGAATATGGGAAGGGTTAGGGACACATTATCATGCTTTATTTTAGTCTACATACTTATTTCCTGAAACTTGTACATTGGGAATGGAGTTCATATACTGCTTGTGTATTATGACTTTTAAATTTTTTTAAATGATTGCATAAAAATCACAATAACTACACAGTAAGCAGCTGTTTGTGTTAAATGAGGGTTAAGTGGAAGGAATTTATAAGCAAGTAGGAGTTACTGAAGTAAGAATTAGTACCATTTTGGATTCAGAAACACATGTTCTCCTGAGGTGCTCAAATTATGTCTATTGAGTCTGTTTTCAATTCTATATGCTGAAGACACAAAAAAAATAGCAATCGATCTTAAACTTGCTATATGCAGCTGTACAGTGAGGCTTTTCTCTCTCAACAGCTTGCTCACTGAGTTATGTTTAGCTAAGATTCACATTAAAGTTACTTTGCATCTCTGAGCACACAACACATGCCAGTGAAGGGGACTCGGCCTTGCTGAGCGATGGAGGCAGAAAGTCAATTATGAAGGTAAGTAAGAGCTGACTAGGCTTCCTATAAAAACATAGAAAAATTTGCATTAAAAAAACCACTAACGTATTTATATAGTTTCTGGAATCTCATCTATTTCATGAATTTTTCTTTTTTACTTTAAATGAATTCACTCTTATTTCTATGTAGTCTGGCATTATTATTATTCATGTTTTGCAAATAGGGAAACTGAAACCAAGATAGTTAAAATGACTTCCAGAGAATTCAAGATGTGCCCCAGAACAAACTTGTCACAGAAAAATTCTAGGGCTAATAGTTCTTAAAATATATTTAGTAACTTGTTGAGATGAGAGAACTTTCAGTTAAAATCAATCTACATTATTCTAATGCTTTGCTCTGGTTTGCACTTGATACACTGTAGATGGGGAACTAGAATCACTTACTGTTAGGAATACGAGCCAGGCACAAACTCATGGACACGTGGTTCTGGAGGCAATTGAACCTCTAGCTGTTGTTTTTCTGTATACAGTGGTTCTCTTTAAGGTCATATTACTTCTGAGAATTGTTTGAATTCCCTTTCCCAAGAAAAAGTTACCTATGCCTAGAAGCCTTGTGTTAGTATTTCAAGATCTAACTACAGAAAAGTCTTTTAAAAATTTGGTCAATTCTCCTCTCTACTGTCAACCATAGAGAACTGTTGTTTCTTGACATTTATGAACAAGTTACCATGAGTTTCAACAAATCTTAATCCCCTAGTTTTAAATTGACTTTTTAATCAAAATAGAAATACATACTCATTGTAAAACAAAACAAAATACCGTACTTACATTACTGAGATTAAAAATAAGTCTCCTCACTACCCTCAAATGCAGGTTGTATACTGTTTGGTATTTATCTCTCCAGGTTAAAAAAAATTCATATACAAATATGTATACATTCAATTTTAAAATAAAAATAGGAACATACTAGACCTGTTATTCTTTTCTTTCAATTATGTATTATAGACATTCTTTCAAATGTCCATAAAGATCTAGTCACCCCTCACTTCCAGCATTTGAGTCCTTTACTGCCCTGCTACTAGGACAGGAGTATATCTTATATACTAATATCTTATCATTTAGCTGGAATTTACACACCCTTTAAGAGTTTATCAAATATGAGTCTATTACATCAAAGCTAGTTACCATAATAAAGCTCTACTGGTTTTAGGTTTTAAATAATATCTTTAATATACAACAAGGAGAAGAAATTACTCCATCATAAATCCTTAATTAGCCAGTGAACTTGGTCTTTTGTGGCATTAATCTTCAGTTCAGATTTAAAGAATAATTTAGTTAATGTTTATTAAGGCATTTCCTTGGCTGTGCAAATTATCAACATGTTTTAGTTAATTAGGCCTTTTTTCTTAAAAATATATAATTAGCTAAAGTTTAGTTCTTTTGCATTTTTGAAGCCAGGCTGGTAAATCCTGTAAAAAAGAAAGTAGGAAGGTTTCTTTTTCAACAACACCTAGAAAGACACATTTTCATTAGCACTACCAGAGAGCACAAGAAATGATTCGGTAAAATATCTTCTTAGTCCTACCAAAGTTAATAATGTATTGCCATTTCTAAGAAAGAAACAATAAATTATAACAATGAGGGAAAGCAAGTTATTTCTACAAATTAGAAAAAATATACACAACAGCCATGGCTGGTGTGGCTCAGAGTATTGAGCAAAGGCCTGTGAACCAAAGGGTCACAGGTTCGATTCCCAGTCAGGGTAGATGCCTGGGTTGTGGGTCAAGTCCCCAGTAGGGGGCTCATGAGAGGCAACCACACATTTATGTGTCTCTCTCTTCCTCCCTCCCTTCCCCTCTCTAAAAACAAATTAATAAAATCTTTATATATATAAAACAAAATATGGTATAATTACGGTTTTGGCAAAGATAAATAGAATGTGACTGATAATGAAAATACTGATATAATGTTAAGAACTATTTATAGTATATTACTGTTCTACTCTGCTAAAATGGAAATAATTTATTGTTGGGAACCACCCTGCCTGGTTTCAGAAGCTATAACCCCTCCATGGCTAAAGCTGAGTAAAACACCTTGGGACCATATAAAGAGACAAAGCTTATCTTCCCGGCAGGGGCACCATCTCTGCTCCCTTTACTTCGCCCTGCTTGGCCCCAGGCAGATGACTAGTTAGCTAATGACGGGTAAGATTCCTCAAGGGAATCTTGACAGGCCTAAGACAGGCATGGTCATGATGGGGCCATCAGGGAAGGACTTGGGGGACTACAGAAAAAGGGGGTGATGGACCCTCACCTCTAGGCTTTGACATAGCCAGAGTTCTCATTCTGTCTGTAATAAGTCTCCTAATCTCTTGGCTGCCTTACTTCCCCCACCTGACTTAAGCCTGAAACAATGACAGAGGGTGGTACAGCCTTGGGCAGGAAAGGGCAGTTCCTTGGGCAATCAGGCCTAAGACAGAATGCATAAAATCCTGTGAAAACTGTTTTTGCTAAGAATGCCCTCAATTTTCTGATAAGGATCCAAGCATAAAATGAGTTTGTTTCCCAAAGTTTTATGGCCCATTAGCTAACTGCCCCTGGCTCAGAATAAGCCCTCATAGTTCTTTGAATGTTATCTATTGTTTGATCATTATTGCCTGACAATGATTGATGAGCTTTACCTGTATTCCTGTGCAAACTGAACCTAATAAAAGCCCATTGAGGAACAGGCCAAAGGCCCTTATCCTGTTAGAGACTGGCCACCTTTCCTCCCCAAGCAGATCCTGTCTTGGTAGACTTATTCTCATCTGTGGTGGATGGGGGTAGGGGGTGGAGCTCTGTGGGCAAACCCCGCCCCCACAATTTATTTTCCTGATAATAATTATAAAAGGTTAAGATGGATTATCTTTACCAAATTGTTTATATCATCAAAAATTATAAGTAATATTATCATACTATCTTTTAAAAAATACTATTCTTTTAAAATCCATTCCATTGCCAATTCCCAGCATTCTGTGATTTTTATAAAATGTTCTCATGTAAAGATACCTGTAGTTTGAAACTAGAAAAGCTGGATGCTCATCATAAAGCTAAAACACACTAAAATATTTACCTGTACAAATGATTAATGTATGGGTTGACCCCCAAGGAATTCATCCAGTTTCGAAATGTCCTCTCTTCTTTGCTCTCCCCTAGAGTAGACACAAGTTCACACTGATGAATCAAGTCAAAAGGAATCAAGAACTACATTTTACACCATTCAGGCAGGTACAAACTGGCCATACATACTTTGCCATGGTTCCTATGGTACTACAAAATTTTTAGGTAAAAAAATCTTATTGCCAAAGTCCCTTTTTTCCCCTCCTGTCTAGAAAACCTCTATTTGCTCCAAAATTTTCCATCTAGAGTTCCTTGATGTCTGTGAACTACTGAGCCATGGGTTTCTCTGTCCAGAAAAGTAACAAATAAACCTATATAGTCATATATGTAGAATTACATGCAAAGGGATTGGCTAAAAATTAATAGAACGAAATCTGTTAGCAGCCAAGGTAAAATTTGAATATTAAACAGAAATAGAGAAGCTACACCTTTTTCAAAGCAGTATTACTAAATTTGTACAGATGGGGCTTTACACAGAAAAGTGGCTGGGCACAGCCTACATTTAATTACACCAAATAGTGATGCAAGAGGTGAGATTATGGGTAATATAAAAATAAGTACTGTGGGAATAAAACTATTTTATAGTCTTCCTGAGTTATTTTACATCGTCACTACTAAAAATAGATAAGGGTCACAGCCCTCACACAGGGTGCTAAGAGAAAGACATGTTTCATCAGAGGAAGTCCCTAGACCTCAGAGATTGCCTTAAGAAACTGCTGCAGGCACTATTATTTAACCTGAAATTACCTAATCTCCCTGAGACTCCCTCCATAGCAGTGTTTATTTCATTTATAAGGAAAACAAGGGCTACTCTGTTACACAAAGTGAGCAGAGAGGAGTTCTCCTTGCCATTTCTGTCTTCTAGTCATCCCCTAGATTGCACATAGGCCAAAGTGATTATAATATTATTGTTTGTTTTTCAGCAAAGTTAGGGGACAATGGAATGGCCTAGTCTGTATCTCATCACCAGATTCCTGAAAAAATGAAACATTTATAGTATATCTCTCATCGCTTCTAAACCAGAGGCAAGTTCGTGTCCCTCTCTAGACTCTGTCTCATGTGAGATTCCCAGGACAATCTGGCCTATAAATCTACAGCCACCAGAGCTCCAGGAGCCACTCTAGTAGAGCCATCTCGGCTGTCATCTTCAGACTCAGTGCCACAGATACCACACACCTGCACACCCAGGAGAGAAACCAAAACCTTGTAAAACCTCAAGGATTCTGCTAGTGTCACTGTTCAGGAAATGATCTGCCTTCTGTACTTTCACGTGGTTTTCACTGCCATTACCTAACAGCTTTCCCAGGATGTTTGAATTCTTCTTGCTCTATTAATTTATATAACCATATAATTTCTTCCTTAAATTTTGTCAACACTTGTCTACATATAAAGTAACTGATTAATCTGTTGTTATCTGCCACTATCATTTGTAATAAATAACCTATATAAACCCTTTTTTTAAAAGAACCAAGTTAAACTAACTATTTCTAGAAACCATGCCTGCCTTATTTTATAGGAGTTATTAAACAGGTGCAAATTAAATATCTAAACTTTTCCCAAAGTGACACAATAATAAACATATTATAAACCACGGCTTGGTGCATGTGACTTGGGTTTACTTGTTAGTTGTTTCTCTATTACCATCTCTTGCTGTATATAAATTTTGTCTAGTAATAAGAGAATTTTTACATTATTTCCATTTCTGAAAATCCAAGTTATGTTTTAAAATTACAAACATTAATAGTATAACAACTGTTTCATTTTTAATTAAAAAATGTTTAAAGTCTGTTGAACCTGGCAATATAGTAAATTATATTTAAAAGGCCACTAAACATGTACATTTAACTGTGTTTGGTGAGTTTCAGAGGTTCTCATTTCTTCCTATTGTTCTCAATTGCACCATTATTATTTAAATTTGTAATACCTGGTAAGTAAAACAGATTTTTTTAATTGAGCATTTATTTATTTAATACCATCTCAAGTTATCTTGGAAAATAGATGCCACAGCCAGCAGCACTAGAGTTTGAGCAACAGCCATGATAAGCATTACGAAAACATGTGTATCCCTGACTGGAAACGCTGTCTGCATTGCAGACGACTAAAGCAATCTTAGAAGTAAAATGTTAATTGCTCCTATGTAAAAGATAGGAAACAAACTACAAAACATTCTTTTCATTTTCAGGATCAAACTGACATCTGCAATTGAAAAGTTTCATGAAAACTAACAAATATATAAACATAGGCTATTAAGAAGAAAGAAAAGGAACTAACATATTTAACACTAAATGTGTTAAGTGATGTACTGTATTTTCTTCCCCTATCTGACCATTATTGAGCACATACTGTACACTAAACTCTCTCCTTCAGCAAAGGCCATTTTAACCCACTTTATAATACTTCAGAACAGGTATTATTATTCTTGCTTTATATATGAGAAAACCAAGGCTCACAGAGGTCACTCGGATATATAATGGGGGAACCATGATTGAACAAAGTACAATTCTATGGCCTGTGTTTTCCATCACCACAAATTAATTCTGACATGGTCTCTCTATACATAGCCTATATATTTGGCTCAATTTCATATGAAGGTTTAATATTTAGTTGTGTTTTTTATTTTTTTAATTCCATACAGATAAAATTCTTTGCCAATGAGGACATACTGATGTATGAAAATGGGATGTGATGAGGTCTAGCTTCAAACTTCATAAGGATCCATAAACAAATTTACAGAGGAAAAAAATTCCAATGACAGTCAGAGTCAAATACATTTTGGCAGATGTAACAGGACATACATAAATTCTAAATAAAGATGATTGATAAATATTTCCCATGGTATCTTCTTATATAAATATAGTAAACACTAATGGAAATATTTAGCAATCTGATTCACACTGAAAAATTCCAAAAGCATGCTGAACACTAGCAAAAGAATTCAAACGTTAAAAATAGGAGAACGAGCAAGTTGGAAAAGATATCTAGCAAGAATTTGGTGACTATAAAAAGCAGATCATTTTTAATATGCCACTCTAAACAATGCCTTCTAAAGTAAGATGGAGGGAGTTTGAAATTTTCCAGACTCTTAAAAACTTAACAGTCTTTCTTTTTACTTAATTTTTTTAAAGTTCTAATTTCTCATCCTAAATTTCTCTGTTGAAAAATCTATTATCTGTCTTCCCCCGTAGTTATTTCAGCAGAGAAGACAGTCCTTACTGTTTTACTGGATCTCAGGAAGATTGAACTGAATTAATCATATGACTTAACGAACATATTTGTTAACTCTGAAACTTCTTTTACTACTTAAAAACCCCTGTTATTATAAAGTGACAAAGACATTGGAACTCTGGTTGTGGCAAAGAGAAAAAGTTCATGGAACTGATTTTTCATTCTCTCTCACTAGGGAAGAAGGAGTAAGAAACGAGGGTGATGTGAGCGAATGAACACTGAACCATCAAATCCTCCCCACCAAGAAATCCCTACTTGAGAACTACTTTTCTCCAAACCAAGGCAACTAGTGGGAATATTTTAGGACTGGCCCCTACACGTCTGACAACTGCCACCACAGCTGCCGCTGTTTTGACTTTTAGTTGATACTAATGTGGGTTTTGGTATGCATGTGAGTGAGAGGGTGAGCATGGGAGGAGAAAACAGGAGAGGCTGGAAGACAGACAAGGAGAAAGACCTAGATATTGAGAATGCATTTGTCATTAATGACGATTCACATATTGTAAGCTTCAATGACACGCAGTGAGTGAAACATAGCTAAATAACACAAAATAATCCAAGTAATAGAATCGAACTAGATCCTTTCAAAGATTACTTGTGATAAAAGGTGAGTTTGTTTATTTATAGGAGAGGGGTGAAGGTTTCACATCAAATCGTGAAATCCATCGTCAATATTGTTTTCTAATGTGTTAACAACTACACTATTCCATCATTATAGAAGGCAAATTAGGTGGAGAATTTACATAACTGAGCCTTGCTCTGCTATTCTAATTAAGTTTCATTTGTGTTTCTTGCTTGTCATCATGCATTCTTTAGGCATATTAAGACTGAAAAAAAAACACAGCATGAACAATGCAAAAAATAAATATCAATCCAGATAGAAAGAATAAATGGTACTAATAAAAAGAACATTCAGAATGAATATATTTAATAGAGTATAGGAAAGTACTAAATACAGTACCTACATTAGGAGGGGTCAAATCTGCATTTCATGAAGCAAAATAGGAAAGTATTATAAATTATGAGACAGATAACAATAGCCCACACACAAGACAAGTATGAATATTGTAAATTTTTTCATGTACTCTAAAAACATTAAAAAGAGAACAATACTAGAGTCAAACTGTAGCTTTCAAAGGAGAAAAGCTACAGATAATAATTTTTTCCAATAGATAATTCATTGTCCATATTCGTGGTGGAGTTATGTTATGTGGTCATTAAAGAGAATTTTTTTAATGTATGATAGTTTTCACTAACATCTTACAGAGAAGTGACAGACAAGTACAAGATTTACCCCAGCACTCTCTTTTAACCAAAACCAACAACCACTTTCTTTAATTTGAACTTTTTAATGGATGCACATGCCTACACACAGTAAATTACGTCTCCCACCACAGTCCCACACCCCTGACAGTGCAGTAGAACAACAACATAAGAAGAGACATACAGTGCATCAATTAGAGTCAGAGAGAACATACCTTCCAATAAATCCATATCAATGTCATTATTATCAGGCTTGTGTAGGCATGGGTATGTGTTAAAGAGATTAGCTACAAAAGCTAGATTAAGTTTGGGATTGCCTGAAACCACATCTGCAGGAGTGACAAACTGTCTGCAGCCCAGTTTATCTGCTTCTTGAAGCATGAATCCGGCACGCTTCAGGTCATTTTTCTCCTAAACAATGATACAAAATAAAAATGGTCAAGATTAAACTTTTGATTGGCATAGCTTTTTATAGACATATACAGGCAGAAGTAACACCTGCTTGAGTGTGATTGGTAGAGTAATAATAAGGGTGTAATAATTTATAGTTTTAATTTAAACATTTCACCTAAAATGTCATATGGTGTGCTTGAGTGTGATATTGATATATTACAGAATTATATGCTTATGATTTTGTAATAAAAGATTTTGTAATAAAAAGGTGTGTTATTTATGCTGGACCCTTTATATGCAATTACTCTTCTGGAAATATATCTAATAATAGCTCAAAATAAGGTCAGAATGTGCAGGAATTCCAAATCAACTTCCCCAGTTAAGTCAATTAAGATAAGTCTCTGAGTTTTCTTGCTGGGGTCAGTGTAATATTCACCCTCATTGCCAAAACACTAAATAAAACTCTCAAATAGTGTATCAGGAAACTCCTATTGATCAAATCATGGATAATCTGATCAAGGCCATAGATTAGAGTGCCTTCTGGCTAACAGGCTTAGTTGCCTCACCCATTCTAGCCTGAATGATATTTTCAGTAGGCTCTTTTTTCAATGAAAACAAGTTGAGATATTATGTTTTAATTAAAAAAATATTAAAATCACGCCCTGGCTGGCATAGCTCAGTGGATTGAGCGCAGGCTGTGAACCAAAGTGTCGCAGGTTCGATTCCCAGTCAGGGTACATGCCTGGGTTGCAGGCCATGACCCCCAGCAACCGCACATTGATGTTTCTCTCTCTCTCTTTCTCCCTCCCTTCCCTCTCTAAAAATAAATAAATAAATAATCTTTAAAATAAAAAAAAATATTAAAATCAGAAGGAACACTACTTTTCACAATTGCAAAAACCCCAGAGACAACCCAAATGCTTATCGAAAGAGAGCAAATAAATAAACTGTCATATTCACACAATGACACACAAAAATATTAGTGATTTAGGAATATGATATGTTTAAAATAAGTACCAGAAATTTAAATACAACGTGATAAACATTGATAAACATTATATGAAGTTAAAAAGCAAAATAATTTAATTTTGTAAGGAATACATTTGGTTGACAGAAAAGTATATAAAAAAGAAAAGCAAAAGAACAATGAACATAAGATCCGAGGTAGTTATTACCACATCAGGTAAGGCAGAGAGAAGGGATCGGGAAGAACTGCAGAGCTAAACGCACATTAACGTCAGGGTCTTAGCTGTCTTGTTGAATTGAGAGTTCACAGGGAACTTGATACAACTTAACTACAAAAATATTTAGTTCTCATGTTTCCTTGGGTTCTTCCGATCTCACTCGCTTCTAAGGCTTTTACTTTTTAATTTCATGATCTTGACACTTGAGGAATATTGGCACACTCCTTCCCAGTTATTTTGTAGAATGCTTTTCAATTTGAATTTGTCCAATGTTCTCTCATGACTGGATGGATTATATGAATTTTTAATATTTTTATTGAGATATAATTCATATCTCATAAAATTCACCATTTTCAAGTATACAATTAAGTGATTTTCAGTATATTTACAGAGTTGCAAAAACATCACCACTATCTAATTCTGGAACATTCTCATCCATCCCTGCCCCCAAAATAAAGAGCGAATAAACGAATGAACAGATGGATACGCAGGAACCCATGACGAGTATATCATAAAGGAATTATGGGTTATCTAATTCTTGCAGAAAATAGAAATGTAAATAAAATCAGAGAGAATGATAAGTTTAATGGTTTTAAACAACAATAAAATGTTACTAAGGTAGACATCAACAAACCACAATATGTGACCTTATACAGATCTTAATTCAAATAAACTTTTAAAAGCAAATCCGACATTGTGAGCCAATTGGAAATGTCAATGTTGACTAAATATATAAATGGCACTACAGATGATTTACCAGAAAATATTGTTAATATTTTCAGGTAGGGTATTATGGTTATATTTTGTGTCTTTATCTTTTAGAAACACATCCTGAAATACTTACTGATCAAAAGATATGGTGTCCAGGATTTGCTTCACAACAACATGGAGGAGGAAGGAGCAGGCAGGTGGCAAACGTGGAAGAAGGCTGACCATGTGCTGATAGTCGATGGCCACAGATCAGTGTACTAGGTCCATCCACTTTTGAATATGTTTGAAATTTTACATGTTTTTTGAAGTTCCTAATTTTTTTACTCAAACTAATTTGCAAATTTGCATTCTTTTGCAATACTAAATTTCTTAGATGTTTCATTATAGTAATGTGAAATATAATTAAGCAATGACTTAAGTTGCCTTTAAAACTAAATATTAGGGACATCGTACTTTAAGTACTTAGTAGATCTTCACAGCAAGTATAGCCTGACCAGATTTTAATGTTTAGAGAGAACCATCTCTAATATTTACAACTTACGTTAAAGAATGGGCTTCCTAGGAATTGTGTTAGATGGATCAGGATCTATCTCAGCCCTTCCTACACCATAAACATGAGGAACTGTCATCTTTTATTTGACATCATAATCGATTGCTTAGCAATCTCATAATGGCTTGTTGCTACCTCTCCTAGTACACAATGATAGTTGCACAAACACCCCGTGGGTCCTGGCTAGGCTGCCCCAGGGAAAGCAGATGTGGGGTTGATTCCACACATACTCAAGGCTGGAATTCTGTACTTTCCTTTCTTCATGAAAACCAGATGACTTGGCACGGAGACTTGGAGTTTAGGGCATGGAAAAACTTCTGAAAACCAAACTTTAAGGAGGGACTGAGGATACCACAGAGGATGCTGCCTGTTGAGAACTGTACTCTCAACTGACTGTACTCACTAGTCAAGTTCAGGGATTTGGGGGCAAGGGGAACGGGGAATTATTACCGAGTATAGCTTTCACTACAGGATGATGAAGAAATTCGAGATATGGAGAGCGGTAATGGTTGCACACAATGAAAATATACTTAATGCCTCTGAACTGCATACTTACAAATGATAAAAATGGTAAACTTTATTTTATGCTTATTTTACCAAAATCTAAAAAATTTTTTAAATTAAAAACTACTCACATTAAATCCTGAAAGATCAATGGCAATAGCAGGTCCATCATCCCGGTCACCTTTAGGTGCAATCTGATTAAGCAGATGAAAATAGGCTCTTGAATCCTTCAAGGAAAGAAATGAAATAGGATTTTCAAAATGAATAAAATCATCATTGGAAAAGAAGTACTCAAAAGGAGGAAACAGCCCCCATCTCAAAGAATGGAATAGTAACTATTAACTTTACTTATTACTTATAGGCTCCTGAGTACACTATGCTATTTTGCACTTCAGAGCTCCTAGCAACACTGTTCTCTACTGGAATACCTTTCCTCACCTTTTTCATTTGTTTACACTGCCAAGCATCAGCATCAGGCAAGATCAGGATGAAGTGTTTTCTTTTGGAAGCTTTCCCTACGACCACACTGTAATAAATCATCCAATGAAGTCATATCCAAAGATGGCTACCATAATTCTTCCCTGTACATTTATATAGCTTCTCCCATTAGAAGTCAGAGTCTATTGACCCTCCCTTTTACTTAGACTGGACTTGTGACTTGCTTTGACCAAGAGAAGCATTTAAAATGGTGTTCTGGGGTCCCCAAGCACAAGTCTTATAGCTTTTGCTTGGGTCCTCTTGAACACAGCTTCCACATAAGAAGTCCAACCATCTGAGACTGCCAGGCTGTGAGAACGCCCAAGCTAGCCACATGGAAAGGCCTCCCAGAGAAGCAGTGAGTAACCAGACATGTGACCAGTGCCCTTGCCGGTATTCCAGGCCAGCAGAACTCACAACTGAATACAGAGTTAGTGATCCCAACCAGAACCATCTGAAGGAGAATCACCCACCAAGCTGCATTAACCCACAGAATCCTGAGAAACAAGTCGTTATTTCAGTTATTCAATTTTTGAGTGGCTTGGTATACAGCAATAGATAACTGAAATATCCATCTACTAGATGTGTTCTTCCCAGTGTGAGCTTCTCAAGAGCTAGGTCATGGCATCCCCCATGCCTGGCATAATGTCCCACAGGAAGGGTTTAATAAATATCTGATGAACTGAAGTTTAAAATAGAAGGGCCCCCCGCAGCCAGGAGGAAGGTGGAACTCCCCTCTGGGCACTGCAGTGCCCCCACTCATCCTGTGCCTCCGAGTGCACAGACTCCGGACAAGAGCCCAGCACTCTCTGGCTGGGCGCCTGGGGTAGAGGGCTGGCTTGCAATGCAGAATTTTTTCTTGTTCCTTTCCATTTAATTGTTTTTCAAATTACAGTTGGCATATGATTTTATATTAGTTTCAGGTGTACACTCCAGTAATTAGACATTATGTAACTTACTAAAGTGATCACCATGATAAATCTCATACCATCTAACACCATACGTAATTATTAGACTATTATTGACTATATTCCCCATGCTGTACCTTATATACCCATGACTACTCTGTAATAACCAATTTGTACTTTTTTTGTTTTCTTTGTTTTTGTTTTTATTGTTTTTTACAGATGTGGGAAGGGAGGGAGAAAGGGAGAAAAACAATGATGTGATAGAGAAACACTAATTGGTTGTCTTTTATACATGCCCTGACTTGGGACCAAACCTGCAACCTAGGATTTTGCCCTTACTGGGAATTGAACCACTGACATTTCAACTGAGCCATACCAGCTAGGGTATTCTTTTTCGTTTTCTTTTTAATCCTCACCAAAGGATATGTTTATTGACTTTAGAGAGAGAAAAAGGGAGAAAGAAGGGTGGAGACAGAGAGAGAGACATCGATGTGAGAGAGAAAAACATGAATAGGTTGCCTCCTATATGTGCACCCCAACTAAGTACTGGACTTGCAACCCAGATATGTGCCCTGACCAAGGATTGCACCCGCAACTGTTCTGGGGTAGAGGACAATGCTCCAACCACCTGACAACCGTCAGAATGTTCTCTGTAACTATTTCTGTTCTGCTTGTTAGTATGATTTTTAGATTCAATTGTTGACAGATATATATTTATTGCCATTTTATTGTTCATACTTTTTATCTTTTTTTCTTCTTCCTTTTAAAGAAGACCCTTTAACATTTCATATAACACTGATTTTATGGTGAAGAACTCTTTAGCTTGTTCTTGTATGGGAAGCTCTTTATTTGTCCTTTGGGTCTAAATGATAGCTTTGCTGGGTAATCTTGGTTGTAAGTCTTTGCTTTTCATCACTTTGAGTATTTCTTGCCTCTTTCTTCTGGCCTTCAAAGTTTCCATCAATAAATCAGCTGACAGATATCCCTCCCAATTTTCTCCCAGCACGCGTGGGCATGAATCCAGCCCACTCAGCGTGTCTTCCCTTCCTGCCCCATATACCAGTCTCAAAGAAGCTTCTCCTTTAAATCCCTAGTTATAGGACTTTCATTCAGCTAGATTTCAGGCAGTTTTGAATGATGGCTGTTCTGCAGTTTAGTTGCAATTTTGATGTGGTTGTGGAAGGATTCAAGTACTACATTTACCTATGCTGCCATTTTGAGTGGAAGTCCCAGATAACTGTCAATCCTTTGATAAAAACTCCAGCATTATAAGCAGCTGTAAATACACCCAAAGGACAGAATTCTTTGGCCTTATACAAAGTCACTGCAGTGGGCAGTGGTGGTACAGGTGGTTGGCACTGACCCTACAGTCCACACATGGCGGGTCTGTGGAGCAGACAGCTATGAGCAGGCAGTGCTGGACTGGAGCGAGTGTGGACCGAGGTCCCAGACCACTATGATTACACTTGTACTTCTGAGCAGGGTCTCTGCTATGTCTCCCTATCACAGAAATGGAATGCTTTGCAGCCACGGCTGACTTCAGGGGTCCAGACATTAAGAGTAACAGAAGATGAGAGTGCTCCATTTCTGCTGGTTAGGAACAAATCAGATTTACAAGATAAAAGGCAGCTTTCTGTAGATGTGAAAACCAGAGCCCAATAGTGGAATGTTAGTTATGTGGAAACCTGCTAAAATGCACTAATATCTGCAAGGTAGTCTTTGATTTAATGATGGAAATTCAAGCCAGAGAGATTGAAGACAGCAAAGAAAAGAAGAGAAAAAAGAAAAAGAAATGTTTAGCCTTGAGAATCAGAGAAAGATGCTGCATTTTACAATCAAAGCCCAAACTCCTTTCTCATTTTGGCCATATTAATAAATATTATATAATGTATAAGCACTTCCACTGAAGACTCAATTCACTATAACTACTTTAACATTTTGCAAATTGTTCTGTATCACTAAAAGCATGAATTGGAACTACACTGAATCTCTGTCACTTAAAAAATAAATTAATGTGGCTTCACCAAGAAGCAAAGTTCCACCTATTTCATAATTATCTACATTTTTCAAGGTCCTGAATATAATATATGAGCTTGTGTTTTGAGAGCAGTCTCCCTTAAACTGTTAAAGAGGTGAGATGTGGTGGGGAATGGGAGGAAAAGCTACTTCCTCTAGTTTATTAAAAAGTTTTACTTTTATATCACATAAAAATATCTTGGTCTTCCATAGGATTACCAGAAGGACAAGAGAGAGAGCAAGGGATTGAGAACATATTTGAAGAAAAAATGACCAAAACCTCCCTAACCTAGTAAAGGAAAAAAATGCACAAGTCCAGGAAGCACGGAGTACAAAACAAGATGAACCCAAAGAGGCCCACTCCAAGACACATCATAAGTAAAATGCCACAGGTTAAAGACAAAGAATCTTTTTTTAAAAGACTTTATATATTTATTTTTAGAGACAGGGAGAGAAACACTGATGTATGAGAGAAAAAGCAAGAACCAGGCCCACCACTGAGGCAGGTGCTCTGACTGGGAAAGGAACTGGCGACCTTTTGCTTTGCAGGACTATGCTAGACCAACTCAATCAACCGCCATGCCGAACAGGGCCATAGAGAGAATTTAAAAGCATCAAGCAAAAAGCAGATAATGACCTACAAGGGAGTTCCCATAAGACTGTCAGCTGATCACTGATCTCTCAACAGAAACATTTCAGGCCAGAAGGATGAGCATGAAATACTCAAAGTGGTAAAAAACAAAGACCTACAACCAGGACTTTGCCCAGCATGGTTATCATTTAAAATTAAAGGGGAGCCCTGACTGGTGTGGCTCAGTGAGCTGAGCACTGGCCTGTGAGCTGAGGGGTCACTGGTTCAATGCCTGGTCAGGGCACATGCCTTGGTCGCAGCCAGGTCCCTGGTTCAGGCACATGCAAGAGGCAATGGATAGAGATTTCTCTCTCACATGGATGTTTCTCTCTCTCTCATTCTCCCTCCCTCCTCCTCTCTCTCGAGTTAACATCAAACGATCAAACCCGAGTATAGTGCAGAAATCCTGTACAGTGACACAGACCCAACGTCAGGCCTATGTCACCACTGTGTGGCGTCTTCCAGCACCCTGGATGACTTCCAGCACATGACTTGGGATGGGGAACTACCACTGTCGGGTTTTTCTTTTCTTCTTTGGAATGCAGCTAAGAAGTCGATTCATAGGGGTTTGTCTTCTTTTTGTTCAGTTCCAATTTCACCAAGTCAAAGATGTGTTCAGGCATTTCAAGTAGCAGGCGTGTATGTAAAGCTAACAAAAACGGGCTCTTTAGAAACTCAACTTCTTTAGATATTACACCCAAGTCTATGATGTTACATATTTGTCCTTCAAGGGTTTGAGATGTACATCTTCCACTACATATTTTTCATTGGCTGTGCCATGTGCTGAATTAAAGCACCAATGTAACAGTGGCCCTGAAACCTCTGCTGCAGTCTTATTCAACCAGGGGTGCTATCCACTAACACTGTGTCTTTGCTTTGAGACCTTTCTTGTCCTCAGTACTGAGGTGCTATGAAGTGAGCTGACAAAGATGTCACATGTCTTAGGCTGATGCCACTACCCAAATGGTTTATTTGCAATTTGAGCCATTTAAAGACCAATAAACTTCCTTTAAAAAAAATAAAAGACAGCCCCCCAAGTAAAATTGTAAATGAGCATGGAATAGATGAAAGCAGACAATGTCACTTTGAAGAGAGAGATTGTCATCTAGGCCATTATGGCAAAAACATAAAGACCGAAGGTGTTAACATATCTAAAGAGAAAACATGAATTAATGTCAACACTGATTAACCTGAAAAAATTATAGAGAAGAAAAAGTCACAGGGACCCAAGCTGGCAATGCCTTTCTGGGCAGTGACCATGCGAGTTGTCACTCGGCACACTGAATGTCAGTCAGTTTCCTTGACAATGGTCTCCCAGTAGGGGGAAGTGTTGCAGCTCCGGGGGCTGACAGACCGACCTGAAGATTCCCTGGGCCCTCAGACAATGTGCTTCCCTAGTAGCTGGCCGTTGACAAAGTGGCTGTAAGAGTGCTGAACTGGTCAGGCCCACATGGGCCTCTAGTCCAGCAAACAGATAAATTCTCAGACTGACTGTCACTTTATAATTTAGTTTACCTGTGGAATATAAAATGCAAAGAATGCTTTAATCTGCTAAGAAACATTTTCACTCTCACAGCCAGTTGTAGTTCTTATTAAAAGCCCACAAACCAGTATTTTTCAAATATAAGATTTTGTAATTAGCATTCCCAGAGAAATGGAAAATTTCACTTCTGACACTGTGCCCTTGTGAATTCAATTTCAATTCAAATTTAAGTCTGCATCCCTTTTGTTTTTACATTCTATTCTATGTCACAAACTTGAACATTAAAATGCAAACCTTAATGTCGTGGCTGAAGTTGCTGATGGTGTGCCATCCTGCATTGGTCAAATGGTAGTTCACCCACCGCAGCAGTAATTCCTCGGGAGAGAGCTTCATCAGCTCCTCTAGCTCCTCGCCTTCATTCAGCAATGCAATCAAAGCTGAGAAGAAAACACTGAGATATAAGTACTCCCTGTAGCAGGTATATGTCCATGAAGAATAAATATTTTTTATGATCATACCTTCATTCCTGGAAATCTCAATATCAGCAAAAAGGCCAACTTTGATGATCTGCCAGAGAAGTCCCAGGACTAAGTGGGGCTTTCCTTCTTTGAGGTCCTGGGCGCCGATGTTGACCACCGTACAACCAATGGCTGAGGCGGAATTCAGGGCTAGGTTTAAATTTTCCTGAAGTGCCGCAAAGAAAAACACCCATGAGGAACTACTCTTCTAAAGTCTTACCAACAAGTTGTGAAGGTAAATAGGAAACAATGGATTGTGAAATTTCAGATCTTTGAACATACGTAATATTTAAATAGGCAAAACACTACTACTCTAAAGAAGAATTCCATGGTTTTAACTGTTACCTCCAGATGCCAATGACTTTCAAATCCACACCTTCTCCCAGCCCCGCCTCAGACTCGGTATGTCCAAAACTGAAGCATGCTTCCTTGCCATACTTCCCTGGTTTTCCTCCAATTCCCTGTTAAAACTGGCTTTTCTTTATTTCCGGTCTCGGTTGATAGGACCAACATTCATTCTTGCCTTCTTTCTTCCTAAGTCAGAAATCTGAGGAAATCCTTGTGTTTCCTTGACTACCACTCCTAGTCACCAAAATCTGCCAATTCCACCTGCTTAATACCTCTGGAAATTGTCAGTGCCTTTTCCAGGTGTCTTAATTCCTTCCTAAGGCCCATCTCAAACTATCAACAATCCACCTTCCACAACACTCTGCTGTTAGTGATCTCGGTAAAACAGAAACCTGATGGAGTTCCCTGGCTTCAAAACCCTTCAAATGTCCACCATTCCTACTATGTCCTCTCACTCACTACATAGGACCTTTGAACTTACTGTTCCCTCTGCCTGGAACACTTCCCCCAAATATCCCTAAGCCCTTTAATATTGGTCAAATGCACCTAATGGCCTTCTCTAATTATCCTACACAAAACAGCAAGCATCACTACAACCTCTGATGACACTCGTTCTTCCCTATTTTACACCTTTGCATTCTCCGACATATTACACACTTAATGCTTATTATTATATCTCTCCCAATTAGAGTATGAGCTCTATGATAACAAAGGTTTTTGATATGCTTGGGGCTGTTTCCCTGGTACTTAACGCATGGTATTCAATAAATACTTATTGAATAAGTGGATGAATGGGTACGAGTGATTAAAGGCAAGGAGGGAAATGAGAGGGTCAAGTCTAAATTCATGATATGACAACAATCAAAACGCCTTGTCTGCTAATATTGGACTCTGGCCTCATCTCCTAATATTCCACTTATACAGCCCATGCTTCAGCCAAGATAGAAGGTCCTTTAGAGCTCCCAAGACAATGCCAGGGCTTTGCAGGCAGTTTTTTGTCTAACTGCAGTAAACAGTAAAATTCAGCTTTGTCTCATCAATAGGTCATGTGGTTGATACATGGGGATTCGGCTTTTGACGTTAATTTTATTCAAAACTGATGGCTTTACAGGTACAGCAAATGACTTATAAGTAATTAGCTTTAAAATGTATTGAAAGTAAGAAGCTAAAATCTGCTTCATTGAATAAATGGTAGTTTCTAGTTGGTAAATACAACATTACTGCCCTACTGGTATGTAGGGAATATGACAACCACTATTGTCTAAAGCCAATTTCAAACATCTTAAGAGCAAGAAGACACAGGAGAACCCCATAAAGAGGTTGTTCCCCAAGTTTTAGCATAGACTACTGCCCTGAGTGCTCGGCTGAAGACCTGTGCTGGTGGGGAGAGACAAGGACAACAGGGAATCTCCACCATGGGGACATGAGAGAGCTGTGGTTCCTCCTTGAGTTTCAGTGTCCTAATCTGTAAAACAGGGTATCTTTACAGAGATGCTAACAAAGACATAAGCAAACACAGCAGTTGAACTCGTTACCCACCCTCTCTCCCCATCTTCTTTGTGCACCCCTGAGCCGTGTCTGAGATACAGCCCACTCTACAAGGCAGAAAAAATTTCCACTGCTGTTTCGGATGGCTTCTCACGTCCCTTCTATTTTGATTAATTAACTATTTGACTTTTTACTAACAATCTCATGTAAGTATTGTATGTTTTCTTTCTTTTAATTCATACCACTTTGCACATTTTTATTTTCCATAAAGTTTCAATTCAAGATGAGCTCACTTTTGTTAATGATCTTTAGAGGGCTGTGCTACACACTTATTGGGTAAGCATAAAGGCATTATTTGTTATTCAGATTTCATCATTTGATATCACTTTGAGTTCATTTGGAGCATCCAAATGGGATCTATGATTTCTCTACTTTAACTGTAATTGTATGCAAGGTGAAATTAATGTCATATTTTTGTGTACATATTTATATACATATGTAAGTATAAAATATATACACATATACTTTGTATGAATATGTATATATTAATTACACTGGAATTTTTTATGTGTTATAATGAACAGATTCAAATTCTTGTACCTACTCTTGTTAGTTTCCTGACTTTTAGGTCCCTAAATCACTAATCTGCTTTTCAGTCTTATTCATATAATTTTTCTTTTAATAACGACAAGCAAGAAAATGAAGTTCAATTGTACACTGAGTAGAAGAGAAAGGAGAAAGTCTCTAAGGTAAAAATGAGTCCTGCTATTATTAACTACTTGATTTGTCCCTTCCCTTGTTTTCATAGTTACTGCATGTCATTTTCACCCTTTTATATTTCTCTTTTTTCACATATCATACTCCTATATAACCCTGTAATCATAAAGTGAAAAATTACATTATCACTATCTGTATAATCTTTTACAAATGAATTAGGCTTCTCTGGGATAAAGTTTCATGGAAAACTGGTAGTTTTCTAGAAGATCTACTCCCAGAACTCCAAAATTACTAAACAAACAAGATGGGTTTAATATCCACAGTAATACTTTGCTCCTTTCCAGAGGCCTGCCTTTTCTCATTCTACAATAGTACACTCTTTCAAGAATTCTTGAAAACTAGACTATTTACACCCTACTCATATTGAAAGATTGCTATCTTGAAAAATAAAATTGTAAACATCTTATCGCCTCAGACTCATCCTGAGCTATTACAAAGTACTTACAGAATATTTTCTTTATTTTCTTTAATGCACTGCATACAACTATTAAAAGTAAAACCAAATAAACTTATACAACACTAAGAAATGCTGTACTTCAGATTCAGTGTCTTAAAAAAATCGTGTGACACATATTCCAGAAATAAGACTGATATGAATGTTGTCAACAATCACAGATATTAGATGAAGCTTCTGATCCAAGATGTGAAAAAAAGATCTTCTGGCAATTACAATCAGAAGCGGGCTTCATCAAGAATGGTAGTTTCTGCTAAGGATATGCATTACTATTGGCTTACTGGTGAGGGGTACAAAAAGCTATGTCAGTCAATATTTAATTGCATAATTCTCAAGGATGACAGGAAATGGGGGTACCCCTTGGATAGTCCAAAATTAACCATGTGCCACTGCCCTAAGGTCATATAAAACTTTCTTACAGAAGAGACCTAACAACGTCAGCAAAGTCAAGAACTATACCTGCCACCAGAAATGAAGGAAAGCTCGGCATTGCTCACTTCTAACACTGCAGTGTGACCAGCAACTTGAACAGTTGCTATGGCTACTGCCACGTGAGAGTGGCAGGATGGCACAGAGACGGAAAGGATGGATTCTGCAGTGACAGCACTGGGATGCACGCTGGCTCTGACACTGTGCAATGTGTCATCATCTTTCAAATCAGAGGATCTGAGTTTAAGGCTGCTGGGGGAGTCCAAGGGATAACTCTTGTAATACGTTTAGAACACTGACTGGTACCTAGTAAGTACCTCATAAATATTAATATCCACCCACTGATCTAGATATTTTGAGGGGAAAAGTGTGGTAACTATAAATTCCTAAACCTTAACAAAAATGTGAATGGACAGGCTGACTACAGAACCATTTAATACAAAAAGAATAGCTGAAATTTTTGTGAAATAGTAAAACTATGCACTTCTTTTTTCAACCAACCAATGAAAACACTGGCATACAGCAAATATTCACTAATAAAAATAACAATAATTATAATACAACCTGAATGCTATTAAGTAAAGAAGTCCATCCAACGTACTTTGGATCTTAACTTAATTCATTACAAAATGTAGCTGAATTTTTATTTAGTAAAAACCTAGATTTTATATGAAACTGAAATTATGTTAAATCATAGGTATCACTTGGGCCATTAAGAAAGGCTTTTTGTTCCTCAGAGCAACATGATTACTGGCAAACAGCAAATACTTACAGAAATAGTGAAAGGGGTGAGCTTTCTCTTATTAATGGCTCTTTCATCAATTGTATCTGGTTCAGACAAGTTGATCATTTTGCTAAAGAGAAAATGCGAACAATTTAATCTAAAATTCCTAGAAATGTTTTTAGTTTATTTTTTCAAGCAGACAAAATAGTTAAATTTTGAAAAGTAATAATAATCTATTTCTTTACAATATTATACTGTAATTCATGTCAGGGTATGTCAGTTAGTTAGAGCATCATCCTGATCCACCAAGGTTGTGAGTTTGATCCCCAGTCAGGGCACATACAAGAAGCAAGTAATGAGTGCATAAGTGGAACAACAAATAAATGTTTCTCTCTCTCTCCTTCTTTTTGTCTCTTTCTCTCTCCTTTCCTCTCTAAAAATAATTTCTTTAAATCTAAAAAATATTCCTTAACCTAAAAAAACTATCACTCACTACAATAATAACCTTAGCATTTCCTCCTAATTTTTAAAAACGGTCCTGCATTTTCTTTATGTGAGTCTTGTCTTTATTTCATTTAATATCATCAACATGCAGCATTACAAAGAAATTCTTGAGAAGACAATTTTCATAAAGTGAATTTAAGTCTGTTAAAATTACTTTTGTTGCAGAAAGATAAGGAACCAGAGACTTGGTCTTTCTAAAACTTCAATAATTCAAACATTTTAAAAGAAATTAATATAAATTTTATCTTTATATTTTAGAATATACTTTGAAAAATACCCATTCAATTCATGACAGGAATTTCCTCTGAAGGTCAGAGGAAGAGACCAGAACTGCAGGCAGAGGTCACAGTATATATTTTTCCTTTTTCTGCTCTTAGTGACAAGGCCCCACTTTCACAGTCTGTATTCATGCTGCACATCAAGATGAAGTGAGCTTCTGCCCTCCTGCTCCATGGGAGGTTTCTGTTTTACCTGAACTTGCCTCAGGACACCTGTATTACCGTTTGACAGGTGCAGCGCCCCTGTCAAACTCCTCACCTGACACTGTCCCTTTCCCCCTCCCCTGTGAGGAGGGGGCGCAGCCGCAGGGGCCTCCCATTTATGCACCTCTCATATCTCTTCACCTTGCTAGACTAGAGTCTAACTCAACAGGGTCTTCCTTGCCTGCTGATTTCACCAGCCTGTTCCCTTGAATGGTTCTGCTATATAGTAGGTAGGCAGAGTGGGACTCATTCATCCGATCACAGTGTATTTTATACGTAATGTCCTAAAAACTAATACCTTGTATTCATGGGTAGGTTGTTCTTCTTTTCAAGTAAAAACAGAAAAAAGACTGAAGGAAATATGCCAGAATGTTAATTATGGCTACATATGGGTGAGAAGAATATTTTTGATGATTATTTTCTTCTTTGTAAGTGTTCTGCATTTTTATAAACTTAAAAACACACTTGCGTTGTCCCAAACACTATGCAGGGACTACAGTACACACAACGAAGGTGACATGGCCTTCGAGAGTTTACAGTGGAGCAAGCAGAAACAGCAGAGTCAAGGATACGACAAGGGTGAACTACATTAATGTCATCTAAGTACAAATGAGGCATATCTTTCTTCTTCATTTCCTCTTGTTCCTGTTCCAGTCAATAATCAATACTCCCTTATTAGAAGTAAAAAAAGAAACCCTGTGAACATTTTAAAATGTATCAGGGGATTAACTCAAGAGTTTCCTGGCATTATTAAGGTAATGGAATAAAGAGACATCAGCAAATTAAGAAATTACATTTGAAAGAAAATTCTAGGAAACATATAGTCCTTCATTTTCTACGTGATATAAATTCTTCAAAACCTATGTAGTTACTTGTCAACTGATTCCAAAAGACAATGGATTTGCTGAGCTGTAATTTGCATGGAATACTCTTCTAGGAGGCAGCAACCCAGTGCTTAACTCACCAAAGAAGGATGCCATCTGCAAGTGATTTGAAAAGACTGTCATCATTGGGGTTCATGGGTATGAGGTGTTTACAGTCAGGGTCGTTCTCCAGGGCTTTGTTTATCCAGTTAACAAAAGCCACTTTTTCTTCCTCTAAAAACAGAAAAATTTAGTAGCCAATCTCATCTGACAAAATGCAATGCATTATAAAAACATTTTTGTTCAAATATTATAAATGCCAATTATTAAAACTCTACTAAAACACTAAAGGGTTTCTAAAGGGTTCAAGAAAAGGAGAAAGGGGAATTCACTCCATTTTTTCATCTGTTATATTGCAGAGGAGTAAGATATATATCTTAAATGAGCACACTGAATATTCAGTTTTATTCTAAAGTCTTTCCAAATATATATTGCTTCCGAGAACAAATGCATCAGAAGTGAACCATCAGAGGCCAGATACACATACACACAAACACACTAGGAGGAAAATACAAGAAACAAATACCAACAGCAATAAATTCCACCCTACCATCGCCCCTGAAAAATTTACAGAGTTGTTATTTGGGGCTTACAACAGAAATATTGATTCCAGTCAAGCGTTATTCAAATGAATAAAACAGATTCATTTCTGTGGAACTTCTACTGTACGAAAACTGGCACAAATCGAGAGACCAGTACTACTCTCAGCCACTTCCACACTCATCAGCTCAATGCATGGCTTCTAGTGGGGATGCCTTGATCTTTAGGCAGAAATGCTGTTGTGCTAATACAACGGGGAAGGAACTTTGGCAGGTAACCTCAAAATTTAATCCATCTCTCTCTCTCTCACACACACACACACACACAACACAGAGGGAGAATTAAAAAGACATAAACATTTACTAATATTTCCCTTTTGTACATATCTGCCTTCTGATCTCCTTGCCTCATATAACTCCTCAGGAACTTAGAGTTTAGGGATTTAAAGACTACTAAGATATTGTATTATAATGATTAAATAAAACAGATATACAAGGAAATGAAACATAAGGGAAATAAACACACCACAAGAGATATAAGCCATGTTTTGAAGAATTTTTAAAAAAGGAATAATCACTTCTGTTTGGGGTAGATCAAGAAAAGACTTTATGGAAAAGGTACTACTTCAAAGACAAACATTTAACTTGTGAACATGGGCAGGGAAAGGGAGGATGTTGCATATTTCATTCTAGATTATAGTTACATGATTGTGTTCATATGTCAAAACGTCCCACCATCTACTTAGGAATAGTATACTTCAGCTACTTTACTATGTGTGTCTTATACCTTAATAAACAACTTTTAAAAATGTATACTGGTAGACCCCAGAGAAGCGGGAGGGGAGGAGGAGGTACCTCTGGGGAGGAGGAGGTACTGTTAGAGAGACCTGCGGGAACTACTCAGGAGACAGAAGTGTTGCATCTGGATCGGGTTGGCAGCTACATGGATGTAGCTAAAGGATGTACACACACTGAGATGTATATGGATGTATATACACTTAAGGATGAATATACACGAAAATTCACTGAGCTGTACACTTAAGATCACATACCTTTGCTAAATGTATATATTACCTCCATAAAAAGGTATTTAAAAAAAAAGAAAAAGGAAGAAGCCTTCTCATTAGAGTGGAGAGGCAGAAATGGAGTAAAAGAGCAAATACATTTTAAAAAATGGAGGTACTGCTACACTTCCTTAGCGGGAAAAGATTAGGAAAAAATATAATGGGTGGGAGAGGTACAAGTATATCGCTAGAAGAAAATCCAGTTAGAAAGGAAAAAAATCAAGAGGATACATAATGGATTTAGACATCAGGAAAAGAAAGGGGAAAAGTTATAGTGAGTTTCTGTGAAAACTTTTAAAAGCACAGATCTAATTATGTTATGTTAACATGAACAAAAGGAACTTGGCCAAAGTTCTGAGACATCTCGACCCTGTGCAGTAAGCTTAAAATGGGGCAAGGCATCTAATCTTAAAAGTTAATGTGACTGGATTTCTCACTGGGCAACAATCCAATGATTCTATCAGATCAAGCAAATCAGGTACTGGGCTCTCTAGTCTCTTGGTAGCTTGATAAAAGGTGAATCAGCAATCCCAGCTCCTGGAGAATGGAAGGAAAAAGTCCCTGGGGTAAACCTCTCCAGGTATTCCCAGATCAGGTCTAAAGGGAAACTCACTTTACCAGCCAAGATGAAAAATCCACTCAAAGGTTATGATTAAACACAGTCAGTGCTGAAAATAAGGAATAATCTTTTGTTGTTTCTAATCTCTGCCATACACTGCAACCTGACACGTAGTAGGAACTCACCACTTTCAATGATTCTAGATTTTTCATTCTGACATCTCTGAAGTTGAAACACATTTCAAATATATAGGCACATTATAATCTAGTCTGATTTTCCCTCAACAGTACATAAAACAACAGTGTGCATTACACAATAAATGGCATCTGAGATGTAATGAATGTGAGTGAGACTTGTTGAATGAATCAATGACTAACAGATCAAATGTGGAGCAGGTTACCTGAATAAGAATGCTGTGTGCCCTCACTGGAAATGGACGAAGTTCCTCCAATAGCAGTAATCCCTTCTCTCTTGTTAATTATTTTTCGGAAGGTCTTGCTGATGTCTTTGCTTTTTAACTCTTGCATGAGCTGAAATGGGATAAAAGTAAAATTGAGCCTTGATTGCAGAAAACCTTGCAACATGAAGGAAAATGACAGACTTCTTCATGTATTTGGAATAAACACTAGCCAGGTATTCTTGCATTTATTACTTGTGTGCACCGATACCTCTCATGTCATTTTACCAGTAACACACAACAGACACTGTTTGCATTCCAACCACTGGAAGAAATGCTGTTATAACTGAGCTTAAATTGAACACATTAAAACTACTCTAGACTTGCCATGATTTTTTGTACTGAAACTAAAGAATAACTAACTACATAATAGAGTTTTAAATGCCTTAATGCAGGTGTTTTCCTGTCTGAACATCTCAAATGTATGCATGTTAATGTAAGCGAGCCAACTCTTGTAGGCCTCATCCAACCACTCTCTCGCTGGACTTTCTAGACATTGGTTAGATTGAATTCAATCAGTTCTCCAAGCTGCAGCCAGAGTGAGTTTTAAAAAATGCACATCAGTGCTCGTTTCGGCAGCACATATACTAAAATTGGAACAATACAGAGAAGATTAGCATGGCCCCTGCGCAAGGATGACATGCAAATTTGTGAAGCGTTCCACATTATAAAAAAAAATGCACATCTGATCATATCACTTCACACTCTATTCCTCCCCTATTACTGGCTTACTACTGCTCTCAGGCTAAAAACAGAAATCCTGCAAGACCCTGCATAACCTGACCCCAATTTACTTCTCTAGCCATGTTCCTTTTCCCTTAACCATCTCAGCTCCAGCCACGTGGACTCTTTTCCCAAGCGCCTGAGACAATCTACCATCCCCAAAGCCACAGAGCCTAACAGGCTATCGCCCCTACCTGCCTCCCACATTATTCGCACATCATTCTATTCCCTCATCCACCCCTCTGATCTGTTCAGCTCCCAGCTCAACTCTTCATAGCTTTGGGACACCTTCCCTGAGCCCCTGGGTTCTCCAGCCTCCACACCAAATTCTATGCCTTGTACTATAAACCCCCAAGGAGATCTGTACTGCTCCACCACAGCAATGTCACAGTTGTCTTTCATCCATTTTTGTGATTCTGTCTTCCCCACCACAAGCCTACTCCATGAAAGCAGGGACCACAGCTTTTTTTGTTCAACATCTTATTCCGAGTGCCTAGAAGAGCTCCTGGCAAGAAAGGAGCGCAAATATTTGCTTAATGAATAAAGAATGCAAACCCAGAAAACTTACACTTCATAAACATTTATTTAATTATATCAATGGTTATGTTTTCACATAAAAGATATAGTCGTGGTGGAGGTGTTGGAAGGAAGGAACAGCCCTTGCTCAACTGCCAGCTGGCCACGGCTGCCCAGCCCGTCTTCTCTCTTGGCCTGACAGGTTTGAAATACATCGTATTTCAGTCCTACAGTTTGGTGTTCAGTTCTACAATGTATTTTTCTTTTATTGGTTGAGTCACATGTTATTTTTCCATCTTGTTCAGTTCTTTGAGACTTGTGGTAGTTTAATAATGAAACAGTGTTATCATAGCCAGCATCAAAATTTACCCTGTGGCCCTCGTGAAACTGAAGATGTAACTTATCACAAGGAAATAACCAGTTCCTTGAAGGCAATGCTTCCATATTTTAGCTATTTCCAGTTGAAAATATCCCATTTCTCAAGGCCAAATACTAAGATAGTAAACTATTCTGCATGCAGAGAAAGTCAATGGGCACTGAATGCAACTTCGGTTTTCCTAGGGCATTAACAGTTACTGTTCCTGAAGACTGACATCCACCCCAACAATTTGAGAATGATTTTTTTCTTATGTTTTAGGAATAAATGTGGACATAGTTGTTATCATCATCATCATCAATTTTTAAGCAGCTGTTTTTCTGGTGTCTGCAGCCAGATTTAATCAAGAGACAACGGCATTATTAAAATTCTTCTCAAAGCAATATGATTAGTAGCCAGGAGAAGGTTAGATTACTTACGGACACAAATTCTTCAAAACTGATTTTGCCATCTTTGTTGTTGTCAGCAACTGCTAGAATTTTCTCCACGATCTCGCGCACTTTGTAGCCAGGCAGAGGAAGGCTAGCTTCCTTAAACAAGTCCTGAAGTTCATAGTCACTGACATACCCACTGTTGTCAATATCTGTAAGATCAATTATGAGCTGTCAAATATCAACTGTAGTGTGGCTCAGTTGGTTGGGTGTCATTCCCCAAAGCAAAAGACTGCCAGTTCGACGCCAGTTGGGCACGTGCCTAAGATGCTGACTTGGCCCTGGGTTGGGGCACATGCAAGAAGCAGCACATCCATGTTTCTCTCCCTCTTTCTCTCCCTCCCTTCCCTTCTCTCTAAAAAAAAAAAGTAAAATCTTTTAAAAAATAAAATTAAATTAAAAATATCAATTGTACCCTGTCGGAGAGGTGCACTGAGATAGTTGTTTGGAAGGTTCACAGGCAGGTAGAAACTTTCAGGTTTGTTTCCCAAGTGGCTGTACCCTTTTCTCCTGCACCCGAACTGTGCAAAGTATTCTACATGCTTTATGAAAATAAAATCATATTTAAATGAACTTTTCCCCCATAGGACTACCATACGAATTTTATGTGGGTAGTACAAGCACTGCTCTGACAAATGAAAAACTCAGGTTCGGCATATGACTAAGCTTGGAAGAACTGAGCACTGGGAAGTCTCGGCTATCTAAAGAAATACAGCAGCAATGGTCACGAGGGGGCATCCACCCGGACTTCCACTCCTTCACAGAATTTACAAACTGGATCTGCTGGACCCACACTTCATAAAATATGTGCAGGTAAAATAAGTGTAAGGCATTTCTGGTCTACATTTCACTTGGTGGCAGTTCTGTTTCATGTGTTAATAATTCATTGCTTCTTCATAATGTATTTATGATACCATTATGTAGGCTGACTCATGTTTGATGTCATTTTGAGATTAAGTGTTCGAGAAATAATTTCACACCTATATTTGCACTTTTGGAATAGGTGTCCTGGCATTTTCATATCATCACTGAGACACCCTCCCCTGGGTTTTTCCTAGAGACTGCATATCACTTATTGACAGAGAACAAAAGTGGCACTAAACATTTCTGCCCAGAGCGGCAACAGACCTCCGGGCTGGCTGGTGAATAGCCCAGGCCCACCTTCTACAGGATCTCACGGCTCATTTGGAAGTAGTTGCTTTGGTCCCTGTATTTCTTTTTCCCCGCAGTAAAAGAGCTACCCTCACTATAACAGAAGTAATGATAAAAACAGACATTTTTCTTTTAAACTTCCATGCACAAGCTTTAAAGTTAATACTGTTTGGAACAATGAAAAATTTCTAACCTAGAATCTACCAATAACCAAAATATTGTTGTATCTCAAAAGTTAGTTAGGAAGCTAAATTGCTTGATATTGCAGTCATTAATACTGCTTTCTTTGAATTCAGACCAAAATTCATCATTTAGTATATCACCATATACTCATTTTTTATTAGATCACCAGTTCAGAATTGTTTCCTGTAATTCTGAAACAGAAAAATAGATCAGGTTGCCTTACTTCTATACAAGCACTGTGGAAGGGAATATTAAAAAATAAACAAGGTAAACAAGAGAGGAAAAGTTATTTCCCTGCTTAACCACCATGCTAAACTAATAAGAACAGTTCAAAGTTATGGCTCTGAAGCCAGGAAAATGTGTATGCTTAAATCCCAGCCCCATCCCTATGACCTCTGTGGTTTGGGTGTGATATGACAGGAAATAAAGGATACCAATTTATAAGCATGTATTTTGTGCCAAGATTTGTTAAAGAACTTGACTTACTTTATATCATGAAATCCTTACAACCTTGAATTAGTTAATAACTCTATTCTAATTTTTAAAATGAGGAAATCAAAGCTTAGGTTAAATAACCATAAAGATCACTCTTTCAAAAGAAACCAGACTTTCCTACAACTCAACAACAACAAAAAAAGCAATTGACCTGATTTAAAAATGGGAACAGACATGGGGACGTAAAGCACAGCACAGGGAATACAGTCAATGATACCGCAGTAACTGTGTGTGGTGCCAGGTGGGCCCTGGAAACATCAGGGAGAACGCTTTGTAAAGTACATGATTGTCTAACCCCTATGCCGTACACCTGAAACTAAGACAAAATATTACTGAATATAAGCTGTAACTGAAAAATAAAATTAAAAAAAATTAAAAATGGGCAAAGGACTTAAGATATTTCTTCGAAGAAGATGTACAAATGGCCAATAAGCACATGAAAAGACGCTCAAAATCACTAATTATTATGGAAATGCAAATCAAAACCACAATGACATACTGCTTCAAGCTAATGAGGGTGACTATTATATTAAAAACAGAATGGAAAATACCAAGTGTTGGCAAGGATTTGAAGAAATTGGAACCCGTGTGCATTGCTAGTGGGAATGTCAAATAGGGCAGCCACCCCGACAAACAGTACAGTGGCTCCTCAAAAAATTCAGCATTAAATTACCATGTGATGCAGCCACACCACTTCTGAGTACACATGCAAAATAACTAAAAGCAGAGACTTGAAGAGATATTTGCACAACCACGTTCATAGCAACATTATTCACAGTAGCCCAAAGGTAGGAAAAACTCAAGTGTCCGTGAATAGATGAAGGGATAAACAAAATGTGGTACAGAAATACAACAGAATATTATTCAGCCTTTAAAAGTAAGGAGGTGATGACATGTGCTATGACATAGGTGAACGGTGAAGACATTATACTCAGTGAAATAAGCCAGTCACAAAAAAACAAATATGATTCACAGAGACAGAATGTAGCATGGCAGTAGCGCTGGTGGGGAGGGGAGAGGGGAGGGAGAAGTTAATGGGTATAGGGACACTATGGGAAGATGCAAACATTTTAGAGACCGGTGGTGGTGGTAAGTGCATAACGGTGTGAATGTGCTTATTGCCACTGAGCTGCACACTAAATGTAAGTTTTATGTCTATCTTACCACAATAAAAAAAATAAGGCAAGTATTTTAATCTCCTACTTCTCCACAGAGACACCAAAATATCCTATCTAGTTAGGGTGGATGAGCATATCAAAAGTTTGTTGGTACAAATTAGCAGAGGGATTACTGAGTTTATGAGTAACAATTTATCTTGTAAATAAAGTCAGCAAGTACATGTTCCTCTACTGTTAGCATTGCTCTGACACAGAGCAAATTATCCTGCTGTCAGAATTGTTCCAGAATTACTTAGTTCAAAATATCATTAAATAAGTATTACAGGATTATATGTCTATGAGTCATAGAGATTAAAGTTGGTGTGCTAAACAAAGCAAACAGATTACTAATTCACTTACTTTACTAAGACCTAGGTAGCACTTTTATTCAAGCTACCAAACTGCACTTACATAATAACAGAAATGCCAAATTGAAGAGGTACATTTTTATTCTTTTTCAATGCTCAAAATGAGCAGAGTATCCCAATAATTTCTTAGTTTCTGTGTTGAAAAGACTCTGGGCACTGCATATAATACCTTATAACATTCATTTTTAACAACGATTTTTTACGAATCATATCAAGATCAAGGCATTCACTGTGAGCCTGATTCAGGCACCATGAAGACTATATTCTGAAGGTCTGAGTTATGCTCGAGTTGGCTACACAGGGAGAAGAGGAAGGGCCCAGAGCTCTGCAGACTTCCCTTCATTTCACAGCAAAGATTTGTAAGTCATACGCTTCCTGAGAACTTTACTTTTTTTCTGAAAAGGTTTACTTTTTAACCTTAAATCTTTTTTCTTTTTATTGATCTCTAAAATTCATTCTGCTCTGTATTCCATCTACATTAGTTTTCATCAGTATTCACTAGGTTTGTGAGAAATCTAGGCACAAAACTGTGCTTATTATATCCTCCCTGGTCTACCATCTGACTCTGTTTTCCACGGACTGCGCTAGAAAAGGCGCCTACTGCGGGAGGGGCCAGGGTGGTGGTATTGCCCATCCCAAAGTTACTGACTTTTCAGCTTGCAGTGGGCTCACCTTTCACGTGCATGTTATCTGCAGACTAGAGCAAAATATAGTTATTTATATTCTCCTCGTTTCTCACAGGTTTCTAAGAGCAAGATGCAAGAGAATCACGATCCAACAAGGAAAAAATTTTGGAAGAAAAATACAAAGTTGTTAAAATGATAATATCATAAAGACAAAACAATGAATGGCTTTAAAAAGTGATAGAAGAAATATAAGACATACAACCTTTAAAAACAACACTAAGATTTTTTAAATTATTCACGAGGGAAAAGGAAAATAAGCCATATGGCCTTTAAAAAGAATATTAAGACTTGAAAATATTCTGCATGAAGTCAAAAAGTGTTATTGTTAATGACAAACACATAAAGGCCAGAGTTCAGTTTACAGACAAGGAAGTGTTTCTATATTTTTCTCTGTAATGAGGATATCATGTTCACTATATTCAATTACACTGTCATTCATTAACCTGGATTATTCTTTGCAAAGAAATAATCAAAGAATTCAAAGTACAATTGTCCTAGAAATTCAAGCCCAGTTTCAGTTTATCTTTCAGAAAGAGAAAGAATCCATTGAAACCTAGATAGAAAAAAAAAACAAAAATCTTGGGGTAAATAGGTCATGGTAAAAGCAATAAAAGGTATTGTTCCGTTCCTGGAAGACTGATATCAAGCAGACGAGTGGCATCACGTTTGGTTTTTCCCAGGCGTACCTATTTTATTAAATGCTTCTTGTAGCTCCTCCAGCTCCTCTCGAGAAATGGTAGTGGTACTACTGTTTTCCATCTTTGGACAGGAAAGACTGCCTTCAGGTCTTTAGATCTTAAAAAAAAAAAAAAAGCAATGTTATAAAGAGAGCTCTTTAGAAACATTTATCTAAGCAATACAGTGCTCAGGCAGTGAAATACCTAGAAGAAATCACCTGAGAGGCCTGGCTGACAAGGAACAAATAGAAATAGATCCCCGGTAAGAAATACCTGTTTTTACACCCTGCGCTGTTTCCTAAGAGCCTGCAGAGGGTGCATTTACATTCCTCCCCACCTCGCCTCCCCCCTCCCCCCTCCCCCACCGCCAACCCCAGCTATTTCAGGAAACTCTGCACTTTGAGTTGAGGAAAGTGTAGCACATGTAATGTAAAGGGAGAGATCAGAAAGTAAAGTTGCAACACACAGCAACATCCACAAATAGAACCAAGGAAGCAGAGTCTGAGATCCGGAGATGGAACTTGTGGCTTTCACACTCAGCCACTGCCACCAAATCTCCCTTTCCCTGTGCAGGTCCCTACTTACTCTGAGTAAGCGATACAGACTTAAGAAAAATCATGTAAAACTGGGTTGAAAGAAATGCAAACAGGTAGCAGTCACTGTAGAAAGTAAATGGTGACATATGCCCAAAACAGAAAATTAGCGTTGGTGGTATAGCAGTGAGCACAGCTGCCTCCCCAAACATAAAATTACGATTATCCATAATCCCACAATCCAGAAATATCCGTGCATATTATTTTATTATCTATATCTATCTGTTCTACTTTTCAAGTACAAATGTAACTTTTTAAGGAGTGAAAATTATGAATATACATTATAATTTTTATACTAATACATCATATGTTTCCATGTTCTTTATCAGTACAATGTTTAATGGTCACACATTACTATGTCATAACTAACTTATTTGGTGAATCTTTTGTTTCAGAGTATTTCTACTGCTTCTAATATCTCATTATAAACAATGCAGCAATCACAATGCTTATAAATATCTGTACATATCCATGTTTATTTCTGTAAAATAAATACCTCAAGGTGGAATTACATTTTTAAGGTTTCTGATATGTATTGGGGCAACTCATTTTTACAATGACTTAGTGGTCTGGCTATTCAAGGTAAAGTTAAAAATGAATATATATTGCGTTTCACTTATGTACACCTAATCACAGTATGAAGTTAACGTGTACTTCAGAACATAAGTAAAAATGTGGGCTTTATAAAGTAACCAGAACTAAAGCTCAGTGGGAAATTCTCTCTTTTACACTTATATTTGGATAGCAGGCTCAACTTCATCCCTGAAGATTTGTAACTTTTCAGGGAAATAAGTCATTTTAAAAATAATGTATGTATTAAAAATTTTCACTCATCATTTAAAATCGCATTACTTTGCGGGAAGCCCTCTAAGGGCACGGCTCAGTTGTCATTTGTAATCTGTGTACACCCACGTGTTTAGTGTTATTGGTGTTCTTTCAAAATGACAGATTTCTATCTCTTACCATTATTCTGGGCCTATTTCTAATGAAATGTGTAGTTAAATCTTTTTGTTTTGAAATATATATACCATTGCCCACTATTTGATTCTAAACTGTTTTTTTTTTTAATCTGAAAAACTCATGTCTCTGGAGTAGGAAAAAAAAGGTAAATAGAATTCATCTTACTCCCCAGGTGCAGTTTCTTACATCTTAGCTTTAAACATCCACATTTTACTTTTCTCACTTTTAAAATATTTTACTATATTTAAAACTACTGACAAAGTTATTTTCTACTGAAAGAGATTAAACTGTCCTTTTAGAATTTTCAAACACAATCCTCCAGGTCTGCAAAATGCTAATTATATGGAGGCTGGCTTTGAACTCTGTGGTTTCCATCATCCTGCCTACCTTTCTGTATTCAAAACGGTTTCTTTCCCTTGCCTCAAGTTTTTAAAATGGTACTCCAATTTTAGCATTCACAGTCCACAGGAAGTCTGTAAATTAAAGGCCCTTGTGCTGACCTTACATTTGAAATGATGAATATACCTGGGGTTCTGTTCTTTGCTCAGGCCTATTCAAACCTGCATCATTTGTTAATTACATTAAAAGTTTTTAGTCTCCCATAATCAGGCAAAGCCAGCACATAAAGTTTATTAACAAATCAATTTCCCCATGCAATACTATGTTTCTCATTTTAAAACTTTGATTTTACAAATATAAAGAAATTGATTCAAGTTCTTTGGTATTTAAGTGAAACAAATAGAAAAATATAAAACAATCTTCAATATATACTCGTAAAAGAACAAAGCAAGGTGCAGAAGAGCAAGTATGGTGGGGCCAAAGGAAGCTCTCTCAGGTATATGTATATAAAACATTTTTGGAAGGACACAAGGTAACACTGACTGCCTCTCCAGGGGAAACGGAGGATTGGAGGCAGAGTGGAAAAGAGGCTTACTTTTCAGTATATGCGTTTTTTTCTTTATTTTTAAAACATAAGCCTACTAAAAATAACTGAAAACAATACAGTGAATAGTAAAACACTGAAAAAATTAAGATAAATGCTATTGGTCTAAAGGTACACATTATTGAATGCTGATATTGATAAGCTTAATATACAAGGTCTGTCCAGAAAAAGCCCAGCCATTGTTAATATAATGCAAATGGTTTGAGTGACATTGATGTAACCTGGCAGCCAAGGAGAGTGGACTGGAATGTGCATGTGCAAACAATGACGACCTCACTATGCTAGTCAGTGGAGGTGGTAGATGCTGTTGAGTGAGCATGTGTACTGTGTGGCTGTCATGTTCAAAAATGACTGAGTACAACAACAAATCTGCGTCACATTTTGCATTAAGGTTGAACATTACTCCATGGAAACTATTTGGACAATTCAGAAGGCCACAGCTATGGTCAACTGGTGACTGACAGCTTCATCACAACAATGTGCCTGCTCGTGCATCACATCTTGTGTAGAGTTTTTGGTGAAATATCAAATCACCCAGGTGATTTAGCCTCTTATAGCTCAGATTTGGCACCTTGCAACTTCTGGCTTTTCCCAAAACTAAAATCACCTTTGCAAGAGAAGAAACTTCATTCATATTGTTGATGAGATTCAGGAAAATACAAGGTAGCTAATGGTGATTCCAACAAAGGATTTTAAGGAATGTTTTGAACAGTGAAAGAGATGCTGGGAGAACTGGGTGATGTCCCAACGTGTCTACTTTGAAGGGGACTGAGGCATCATTGTCCTATGTGCAATGTTTCTTGTGTCTTGTATCTCGTATCTTCTTCAATAAATGTCTCGATTTTTCATAGTACATGGCTGCATACTTTCTGAACATACCTCATATATAAGTTCCCATATATGTTATAATTTTAAGTAAGATCACATTTGTTACAAAGCAAAATACTGTGATTAAAATAGTGAAATCATTTATAGCTTTCTATAAAGGCATAAAGATTTAGCATTAGACTTGTCAATGGAAAATAGGTTGCCTCATGAGCCTACAAGTAGAGACTCATGCATAAATATATAGTATCAATAGTTGTCTGAGTTTTTGCAAAGTTGTGGTAATGTTACAATTCTTCAAAAACTAAGTATAGTATATGGTATTCCGTAATAGGCATTTTTAAATAACACAATAAACTTATTGCAACATATATTGTTGGCTAAGAAAATAAAGTAGTTTCCTTTGGTGTATTAAAAACTGTTATGCTTATGTGATCCCCAAATGCATTTCTCAATATGTTTTTCAATGAAAAAAATGTTTCTGCCACAATAAAATAGCAATGACTTTTTAAAACTCTATGGAAGGGAACATATTTTATCAACAAATTTTGAAATAGTATGTAACATCTTAGAAGAAATGCCCAATGACCCTATAACTAGTAAAGCAGTATTTATTTTTTTTATTATTTATTTTTCTTACTAGACCCACTCTTAGATGATTAATGTGCTCAGGCACCGTCCTAAGTGCTTTGTGTCCATTCTCATTTAATCCTCATCAGTTAGAGGTCGGTGCCGTCCTCATTTCGGCAGTTGAGAAAGGGATGCTTCATGGGATGGAGTGACTTTCTCAAGGTCTGAAAGTGCATAGCTCTCTCACATAGTCAGTCTAATAGCTAAGCTGTGTCAGAAACCCAACTCCACCCCATTCCTACCTCTAGGAAAGGATGCTCTGCAGTACCCCAAATATAATCTGACATCAAGCCATATAAACATATAAATGTGTACATATATAATAATCACACAATTCACAAAATATATGAAGCATAGATTATTATACACTTGTGAAATAAGAATTTACACTTGAAAAATAATCAGTTTCCATAAAATTCTTTGTAAAGTTTTGGGTAAAAATTCTACCTAGATCAACTCATTTTTCTCAAGCACATTACTTCTCAGTCCTGAAACACTCAAGCAAACACTAGAATTCACTTGGCAATTTTAGAAATGAACACATCACCTAATCAGTACCCAAACACTTGGCACTGAAGCACGCACATGGGGATGCCTAGGACTTACGCTTCCGAAGACAGTTCAGAAGTGCACAGTTTTCCAAAGTCAGTGCCCCAAAATGCAGCCCAGAGACAGCCAGGATCACTGGCCAGACCCACCAACAGCGCAGGCTATGCTGAGTTCTGTAGATAGAGGTATCCATCTCCCCACAGATGTTGACACATGCCCTGTTTCTTCAAGATGTCCAACACTGCTTTCCTCCTCCGCTTTTTTTTTTTTACCACATAACATTTTAACTGAAACCTTTTTTCACCAATTAAAGCTCCTCCCCCACCCCCACCCAATCCCCAAGTGTACCTTAACACAACCAAACCAAACATATATTTGGAAAGTAAAGGAAGTATATTGAAAAAATGCACTTTTCAATTTAGAGAAAATTGAGCTGATCTTTTATCCTCCCTCAAATTTCTAACTTCCTTGAGACTTTAAAAGCTTTACCAAAATTAGCACAAGCAGTCCTTTGTGGTTGGCAGGATCTGCAGCCCTTGGAACAGTTTCAGAGAAAAAGGCATTCCATTAGGAACTGCCCGGGACCAAGACTGGGATGCCTTTCTAAAGCTCCCAGCT